CCGTGGCAAGAAAAGCGGCCATCACTTTTTTGACAAGACAACCCGTGGGGACCAAATTTGTCTACATAGAAATTATTCGATTCTTACCTAACTTTGAATAACTCCGTCGACTTTGTCCGAAAATTACAATTATATCTAAAGCGGAATCAAATAACTCTCGACATTGTTTGTCTGAAAATTTGAAATATCCCACTATGTTCTACTTTTGCAATAACAGGAAATAACGAGGATGAGACAGGAAACGCAAAAAGGTCTACGTAGAGTCCGCTTGCTGTTCTACGGGAAGGCATGGTTCCCGTAGAACAGCAAGCTCCCGATACAATGCCCGACTTAAGTTATTTATTTGGTTAGAAGGATACTCCTTATTGCATCTAAGATCTGATTTAGTAATCTCTAGAAGCCCGAATTATATATGAGTATCCTACCGGATGCGCCACTTAAGTTTCGAGAGCTGCTAGGTTTTTAAGAAAGAAATACTTACACGCCTACAGTAGTTTATTTAAGAGCGACTTATTCTCATTGCAATTTCGATATCTTACCTCCACAGGAAGCGAAAAATCTTAAGATATGCATTACATGAATAAATACCGGCCAAGTACGAGTCGGACTCACGCACGAATGGTACCGTACCATTATCTATAAAAACGACAAAAAAGCCATGTATGTTATATGGGAGCCTCACTTAAATATTTTTTATTCTGTTTTATGGTATTTCTTTCAGCGGCAACAAAAATATATCATCTGTGAAAATTTCAATATCACGGTCCATGAGATACAGCGGAGTCTTGGTGATAGGCCCGTTTTACCCTGGGTACGGAACACTTAAAAAAAGTCCTAGACCTAAGGTGACTAGATCAGCGGCGCCAATAAGGATGCTTAGGTCAGCGACGCCTTCATACAGTGATGTCGCTAGCATGTTGTAATTGGTCAAGAAAGGGCTGGTCCGGTGTTCACAACGGCGTAATGCTTAAGACTAAAACATAACATATTTTGGACTGTGCAAATACGATAGTTTTAAACTTTTTTAATTTATAAATAAATACAGATAAACATTAACGAGATAGTAATATACAGGAAGGCTTTTCTAAGTATATCTATTTTTTTAATTAAATTTAAGACTTAAATAATGTTATATAAAAAAATGATAAATATTTAAAATCACTTCATAATTAATTAATTACATTAATTTTAACTTATCTCAAAAAGTGCGTGATTTATGGGCAACTCATTTATTTTACGCGATCATTCATAACTAACACGCACACAAGTTCGTTTCAAAAGTATACGACGTATTTATGAATGGTTTACCGCATTGTCAAGAATGACAAAAAAAAATATGTTTGTTTTTATTTCAATAAACTATTATACTCTGTGTCTACTTATACTCCTGTACTATTATACTCTATGTCTGAACCTCCTGTGTGAATTTGGGCACCTTTAGAGAAGTCATCCTGTATATTTAAATATATTTTAAAACATACATTGAATAATACGTACAATGTACGAAAAATTGTAAATAATATACAGTTATAATGTAACAATTTCTAAGGTATACTATTTACCAAATTTAAAAGTCCTTGGACTTCAGCTATTTTGAAGTTTTAAAAAAATTATAATAATAAATGGCGGAAGTTACAATAATGCGCATAAGGCTTTTTTTATCAAAATGTGATAAAAATAATTTACTGTAAATCAATGTTTTTTGCAATTTGTTTACTTTTTACTTGTCTACACAATAGCTCCAAGAGATATATATTCTAGATATATTATTAATAGTACATATTCTTGTAAGAATAGAGAAAAAGAGTGGTTGCTCTCTCTCAAGTATGACGAAACTGACAACATTCTTAAGTAATACGAAAACACCCCACCCATCCCCCTCCTCCACACACACATACACACCAGTAATATCTCGTGCTTTATTATCTATGTCTAAACGGACTGTTTCTTTTTTTTCTTTTCATTTGTTAATTAACGTTTTACATGAAGCGCACTCCAGCTTCCAAGATACAGGCACTACCTAGTTTAGAAGTCACAGTGTACCTCATATTCTCTTATTGTAACTTACCATAATTAAGTATAAACGATCTGTATTGTTATTACTACAGAAATAAATAAATTTACTATTATTATTATATCAATAGGCACATTTCACTTGTAATTTGGAGAACTCAACTGATATGATAAAAAATTAGAGCTTCGAGTTAATTTTCGCACAAATATGCCATGCAGTAATGTCATATATTGGAAAAATTCCCTTCGTCCCAGCAAAGAAAATCGAACTCTAAATTACAAACATAAATTTTATTTTCAAATTGAAAATTAACATTTATTTTTTACATTGAATTTATTCGTTTTCATGATATAAATGTATAAAGCTTTCATCGATCGTATATTCATGATATTTCATGTTCAAATCATGATATTTTTCTATATGGAAGACGTTTATGTGGAATTTTACCACATTACAAGTATTAAAAAAAAAAGAAAAAAGATGCAAAAAGCTCTTAAGGCACCGGCGGGGCTCGAACCCGCAATCTCCTGTTTACTAGACAGGCGCTTTAACCAATTAAGCCACGGCACCGCATATCCAACTGGCTAAAATTTTGATACCGTACCGTACAATTTCATTAAAGCAATATGGCGCCTGGTTCATTAACACAACCTCCCTATATTTTTAAACGGTTTTATTTAGCTCGACCCGTACGGAATTTGTTTATTTATTTGGGTCAAAATTAGAAATTGAAATTTAAGCACCTTCCCGTTGTCAGATTGATCTGAAATTTGGTACACACATTTAATTTAGATGACAATACAATATTGTAGTTTTCAGTGCACATAAAATAAAACCGTTTAACTTAAAAGTTTTTAAACGGTTTTATTCATATCAGAATCGCCTTTTTCAGATTCAGATTTCTTTGATTGTTCATTACATAATATGATTATTTGATGAAAATGATTTTATTATTGATGCAAAATTGTACGGGGACACCGTACAATTTTGCGTGCAGGGCTTAAAATCATATAAGAGAAGGCATCATAAGTCAAACAAAGCCTTGGATTTCACGACTACGTCAACTTAGATGATGATAATGTTAATGATTTGGATGGAATGTTAATCGTTGTTAAGTAGTGGTTAAGTAGTGAGGGTTTCTTATAATTAAAAAAGCCCTATATGCGAGACAGGATGGACTAATTATACTACAATTCATTGGTATACATATTTAATCACAAATATACAGAAATAGGTACATTAATTTAGTAATTAAGTTTAAAAAAAAAACTCAATACGTTTTGCGTCAGTATCAAGAAGCTTTAAATTTTTATAAATATGCTGAATACATTTTTTTAACATATTTAATATAATTTCAAAGAGAAATGAATGTCGAATAGTTGCATTATTTCTTTGTATTCGTTACAGAGATTTGATAATAGAGCACTCCAATGATCACGCCAGGCCTCTTCAACCTCTACGAGTAAGCTTGCTTCCTTCAATTCTGTAAAAAAATCAATGTTTTATTTTACATTCAACTTGTTAAGTTACCTAAATATTGAAGACGCTAATATTTTCTTGTGTTAATTAATATTGCTCTGTTATATCGGAATCTAGTGAATTTTATTATCATATACGAGTATATAATTAATACGTGAAGTAAAAACTTTGTACCGCTTTTTACGAAAATTGTGCAGACGGATTAATATGAAATTCCCCACACTTATAGTTTATATAGAGAAGAAGTGCGGCATGCTAATATTTTTTTTTAATTATGCATAAAATACGTTAAGTCAATAAAAAAATCTTTACACACTACCATGTATAATTAATTATGGTCGAATTACGGCCACTGGGCGACCACTAGTCATATTAGTTGAGTATTCATCTAATCATCATATGAGTCCCGTGGCAATTCCATCCAGCCATCCAGGGATCATTTAGCATCCCGTTTTCATTTCCATAAATCAATAAAGCAGCCCGAGGGTGGTCTTTATCTTATAGAGCATGCGCAATGCGCAATGCGGGTCGAAGTTTGATGACCCCACTTCGATAGAGCCACTCCAATGCCCGGATAATTCCTACTGATGCATTAGATAAGAAAATACGTAGCTTTGATATGCCATTCATTCATCGTTGTCTTGTAGCAAGTTCAGTAAGTTCGGTAATCGAAACGCTCCCCAAAATGATCCACTCGATTAAATGGGTATCGCAATTAGTATGAGTATTCAAACTTCAAACAAGTAAAACAAGTTTTGATATTAGGATAAAGCACACACAAAACAAATTGTTTCGTACCATTATACTACTCCTTCAGTATTACTTTATCTTGCCAAACCTACTCTCTATACTGTTCTGACAGACATATATCTAAACAATCTTAGCTTTGGCGCTCGAGAATACAAAAGATCGTCATTAATCGACGTTCGATCGACAAGTATTAACCCAACATTATTTTTTAATTTACTTTTGATTGCTTTATTTAAAATTTTTAGCGCTACCACGTGACATACAAAAGTCGAGTGGATCAGATGGAATCCTCTCTACTGTCCACGAGCGGCCGTGAACACTTACCATCAGATGGCCCACCTGCTCGCTTGCTAACTTTTCCATAAAAAAAAAAACAAAGTAAGATTCCGTAAAGATTGTTGTATAAATAATGCAATAAGTTAAATTTTTTAGTTTTTATTATGACTAGATATATTTGTTACATTAATTTCATATAAAATTAGTGAAGAATATTTAGTGGATAAGTCAGTTATCCACTAAGGTTATATAAGTTCATAGTTCTACAGTCCACTAGGATAGTTGAGAAGCTTAACTTAACTAAACATTTACTTGTTTTCTTTCTCTTCCGGTTATAAATAAATAAAATTCGTACTTCACACATATAAAGTGAAATCTCAAACAAAAATTTATTAATTAAAAAGTATCACTAAACACATGTAACGCTTTTTGTTGTAAATAAATGTTTACAACTTTCAGTATCAGTTTCATTGATTTCCTACAGGATAGCAAAGAGATGAATCGACTTACTGTAGCACACTCCACATGCGATTAAAATGAGCACTTCTCGTAGATCCCGCTCTTCTACGACTCCTACGTAGTGAAAGCGCACCAGCGATGGCAACCGTTCTAATGTGCGTCGAAGAGGGAACGTCGTGCCTCTCCGCTGGTGGATGCTCAGTGACACTAAGACAACACGTGCATAGGTTCAGGGACCTTTGTTTTTGGTCTGTCAGACACATGAAACATCTAGAATAACTGTCTGATTATACAATGAACCGTTAAAGAGACTGTGCAGACAAGCAAATAATCAAGACGTATACAGTTTTAGCTTTTTTTTATGTGAAAAATTGCCAAACGAACCGACGATTCACCTGATGTTAAGTGAATACCGCCGCCCATGGACATCTGCTACACCCGAGGGTTGCAGATGCGTTGACAACCTTTTGAAAATTGGTCTTTGGCCACGTCACTCACCAGACGAAACGCGAAAATATTACGTAGTACTTCCACTTTACGCTGGTCTTCTGTGAGGTCGTGGTACTTACCCGGACGGGCCTGCCCATTCGTGCAACAGCCGAGGCTGCTGCGTGGCCCTACCACCGTAGTACTAATTGCTAATACTGTCACTCTTACGGGTAACACTGGCTCACCCAACGTGCTGGCGTAGTGTCCTTCGATATGGCGCACGAAGCTGCCGATGTCAAAGCTCTCGCAGTCCAGCTGGATCCCCTGGTGCAAATGCGCTTCTCGTAGCGGGATACTGGCAGTCAGGAAACGTCGAACGTGATCGTAGTCACGCAAGCGATCTGCGCATAATTTTTTTACGTGAAATGTTGGCAAGCGAGCAAGCCGTTCACCTGATGTTAAGTGATTACCTGCTTGAACAGTTGTTTGCGATAAAAAAAGGCTCGTAGGCATTTAACCAAGCAGTCCCTTAGTTTGGGCTTATAGAATAGGTCTGAAGTATTATTTCCTGACTGTCGTTGTTTAGGCGGTACTTATGTCTAAAATTCTTCACAATAAAATAAATTTATTTGTTTGAAATAACTATGGTACAAACGATATGGATAAATATATTTACATACTTTCGTCATATTCAAGTCATTTGTAATGTACAAATTCTTAGCCATTCATACATTAATCAATATGATTTTACATTCTTCTAAATTGACAGTATAGTGATTTATATATATCTGTCTAATTAATTTTTATGAAACCATGTCAAAATCGTATTATTTGCGGCTCTTAGTAACATTTACACAAATGTTTGTTACCTAAATATTATTGCACTGAGTACACGTGTATTTCAGCCAACATCCTTTTGAGCTTTCCATGATAATTGTAAAGTTTTGTAGCTAGTAAGTAGCAATTTTTTCAATGATTTTTATTATTCTTTTTAGCTCTCGCTTCTTCTCAGCCTTTCTCGGAGTCGACTATTTCAAGTTGTTATTTTTATGTTGATTAGTTAAGGTTACAAAGTTAAGGAAATGGCATCCTACAACTTATTAATGGCCCGACTTTACAAATTGCCCTTATGACCTTTTTGTGGACTAAACGTATTTACACTTATATAATGCATTTTATAAATAATGACACCATAGTTAAAACTGATGAAATTTATCCGTGGTTGTAATATCATGTAATGTTTATATGTAATAAATTACATATTATTTTGTAAATCTTCGGAGCGAGCAAATATAAACTTATGTGTACTTTTACTTTGTTTTCTATATGCGTCTACGACGTATATTTATGGCTCAAAATTATCCAGAGGAACGTAGTTTCATTTACGTATTCTATATTCTGGCTGTAATACTTACTTTGAAATGCTTCTTTATCATATTTACGTCGAGTGAAAATTATATGTTGTTGTGCAATTTTTTCACTTGCCTATTTCTTTCAGGTTCCTTCAGTACCTTTGGATAGCAGTCTGGTGGGGAACACAATGGAGCCTTACAAAAGACCATTGCTAGGAAGAGGTCGGGGCAGGCGATGGCCACGCGACGCCACGCGTAGTCCGGGACGCCCTGACCACCACACCCTAGGGAAGGGTCTGCGCGTCCAGGAATGTGAGCTTCACCGCAGAGCAGCTGAATATGCGAACAGGATGTTACTTATCATTAATGGGGTTGATTAATGATTAGTTCGGATGAATACACCAGGAAATAGGTCTTTTAACCCCAATGGCAGTCACAGATAGCTGGTGAATTTCCAAACAGTCAAGGGCATGAGACAGCATATCTTACCGACACCCGCACGTGGTTCGGTTGGATAATAAAGTGAAGAAGCATGCTTAATAAAGTGACTTGAATTTCTAACCATAATCTGGGATCGTGATTGGAACGCCACATCTGCTGGTGATAACAAGAATGAATTACGAAAAAAAATTAGGTTCTTCCATCGCTATTTAAGCTGGCAAGGAATATAAAATTTGGAGTCATTATTTTAATTTATCATAATTCTAAGTCAATAGTCAATATTGATTCCAACAATGTGAAGTATTTTGTATGATGATATATCTAAGGATAATAAAAAGAAAAATATGAAAAAGTTGTAATAAAACCAAATGATATTATATTCAAAGATATTACACCTGCGCGCCGAAATTGAGCCAGTCATTTTACAAAAATCGTTGAATCGAATTACAAAATTAGATTGCAATTCTATAGACTGCTAAGTCTTTCCATATTATACGTTCTATCTCTCTCTCACATTCACTGATATAATTATTTCATATAATGTAAAGCGGAAAAATTTTTAAAAGCCGCGCAGTATGGACATGCGTAGTCTATATTATTAAACATCGTTGATAAAACCATGTGATATTTTGAAAATCAACAATATTAAATGTTACTTAAGAACCTTACGCCCGTGATAAAAATTATAACATTAATGTAACTTCTTCTCTTAAAATTTTAGTAGATGTTGTCTTTTGGTGGGAGCTCCAGATATAAATAACTAACGTTGACTAAGATGACAACCTGTGCAAGTGTGCGGGAAGTCGATGGATACAGGTGACTCATGGACTACTTGGCAGTCTGTGGGGGTGGGTTGTGTTCATCAGTAGACTCAAGTTGAAATCATGACAATGATTTTTTTATTTATTTATGTATTCGGGAAAACAACAGCATATTATATAATAGTTTTTCCAGATTATCACATCTTATTGAAAGCCAATTACAGCTCTGCACATGCTCAAAAGAAATCGATTTGAAAAATGTAAACAGAATAAAATTTGGCAAAACATAATTAAAATTATACTAACGCATTAATAATGATAAAGATAAAGCCGTTTTCCTGTTAGTAAAGACTTCGCAGCAGTTATCTATATATTTACATAAGCACAACTTATTACAACGAAATGTATGCGACCTGCAACCGGAAGTTCGGTCGCTTAAGGACCGGAAGCAGGAACATGAGGGCGCTTCCAGTGCCGTCTGCCACGTGCCCGTACTCCAGCGCGAGAAGCCGCAGATTCCTCAGCTCTCCCAAACTCCTCAAGAAACAGCGAGTGGTATCCGGGCGTGGAATGTATTCACCGCTTCCTGGAATAATTTATGGCGCTACCAACTTGCGGATAAGATGGTTTCTTTTTTTAATGTGAAAAGTTGCCAAGTAAACTGGCGGTTCACATGATGCGAAGAGAAATACCGCCGCCCATGGGCATCTGCTACAGCCCAGGGTTCGCAGATACGTTGACAACCTTTTTGAAAATTGGGCACCGGCTACTTACTCACCATACGAAACGCGAAAGTATTATACTACTAAAGTATTGTACCTCATTAATTATCAATAGAAAGGTTTATGGTTCTATAAACGGCACTATGTTTGGCTTTAGGCTAGACTAGTTTAGGCTTAGCTTTAAGTAGTGATAGTTATTTGCAAACAAGTTGAGGCACTACCATTACAGGCGAAACTAAACTATGCCAACGTCCACACATGCACGGTTGTAGGGTATGGCTCATGCTGTTGCACAAATGAGCAGGCTCATCCGAGGAAGTCCCCCAAGCTGGCAGAGGACCGGCGTTAAATGGAGCTTTTACACTTTCGCGATGTATAATCGTAACCGGCGCGTCCTTTTATATACGATGGCTACGCATCTGCAGTTCCTCAGATAATGCAGATGTTCATGAACAGAGGTTATCACTTAACATCCGATGAGCCACCTCATCGCTTGCCAACTCTTAACATAAAAAAGTCGGTACCTGTAGGTACTTGGAAGGTTCCATTTAATATTTGTGACTAAAGTTATAGTTACTTTTTAGTTATCTTTTTGATAGTGTTGCTCGGTCTAAAACCATTAAATAAGATAGTGGAACGTAATACACGTATACGTAATAAGGACATGAAGCGTTGCTATAATTGCAATAAAAGCAAAGATAAAACGTGGAGATTTTCGCGCGGTGAAGATGAATAAACCGTAACCGTGAATAACAGGTGCAGTAACCGGTTGTTTATCTTAACAATAGCTTATGAACTTAATTGAGCAAATGTTTCTTTAAAAGTGTTCATATGCTATTAAGATTATCTAGAAACAAAAAATAACGTCTGAGTTTGCCCTGTGTTGTCTATTCACGATGGAATCAAATTTCAGTTTTGTGTGTCTCGCTGAATGATCCATAAAATTTTATCTAGTAAAAGGTTTATCTAGTAAAACGTTACTATTTAATTTCAAGGCTACCTTTGAATGAAACAACAATAGGGTTAAGTTGCTCGCTTTAATCTTCGCTCAGACTCGATGTTAAAAAAGTTCTTGGTTATGGAATACCATTTCGGTCACCACAACTCTCCTTATTGCCGTCGGCTTCATGGGCTTCGGGTAAAATGGAAGTGGCAGTAGTATTATCGACTCGTCGGTACTGGAAATTGGGGAGGCTCCGACGTGCCTCGTCTACTGTTTCACGGAGACGGTCGGCACCAACGGGCGGCGTCTTCTGCACGTCCTCTCGACAGCTCTTCACCAACTGCTGCATGTCTCCTTCATTTAACGGCTCAATCATATCCGCGGCCCGACCGAGATGCCTCTTCAAATCGCAGTCTACTCGCAGTAGTTTCTCTCTACAGGAATTGGTGCGCCATGGTCTCTTTGGATCGGCAATATTCGTTGCCTCCTCGATGGGTTCCCTTTTAGTCCTGGGAATAACTGTTATCGCTCAAATATGATGTAAATCAATTTTGTTTCGTTCTTATTAAAGTACAAAATATATAGACTGCGAATTTAGTAGCACCGTTGCTAACAATCAGTGTGATAAACACCAAATAAGAGTGACGGAATTCACAACCAACTAATTTGTTATTGCAACGATTAGGAAGAGAATTTTCTGAAAACGCAACATTAGGTAATCTTTTGACAAATAGTTACAAAATATACATGTAATATTGTTAAAAGGAAATATCGTTGCCTGATGCTTAGTCATGGATGTTATAATACATGGATAAATAATCTAAAGAATAATTCTAATGGTAAACTGAAATAAAGAAGTTTCAAGTCTTAACGTTTACAATGATTTGTACTTTTGCAATTACAATGATATTCTGAAAGTTATATGCTGAAAGTTATATGCTGAAAGTTAACAAGCGGACAGGTGATGCACCTGCCTATAAGTATAACGATATTTATAAAACCAGAGAATCTAAAAATGAGTTGTGAACAGAGGATCCCTGTTACCTCACTCACCAGACGAAACACAAAACTATAATACTTCTACGTCACGCTGCTCTTCTGTGAGAACCGGTACAGCTTATTCTATTGGGTCTGGCCAGCGAAGAACCGTTATTTGTTTCTTTCTCAATATAATTCAATGAAGATATGAAATAATAATATGACGTCTCGTTTTTCAAGCTATTAGCAAGTCAGCATTTTACGCCGTGACCGAGGATATGACCTTCTAGTATAATTAACTATACAGTGGTATTAAGTCATCAATATATACTATACTCTATAGTGAGCAAACGAATTTCTCTAATCCGACCAAATGCGTACCGTTTTTCTTCTAACAGAAGTTCTCGTAATTTCCTTTCGTTCTCCTCCAGCAACTCTTTGTCGGGAACATAGGGATTTTCACGCGCAATGTCCGTTTCAACCTCATTTGCCACGTCTTGTGTCGGCTCAACGTTTTGCATCAAATCTCTGAGGAGTCCCTGACATCGCTCCGGCACTCTGTGCTCAGGAACCTCTAGGTCTTGTAATAGTTTCACTAATCGTGATTTCTCTTCATCGGTCGACATTTCTATTGAGTTTACTGATGTTACCATGACAACGCTGGGTTTCTATGGAGACCAAGCTTAGTGAAAGCCGAAGGATATAGATGAAACAAAAATTATGCAAAATATTACAGTACCAACATTAAAATTTTGTAAATATATTCTGTTCAATAAAATAGCATGCGTTTCCTCGTTCTTTAATATCCTATGGCCCCTAGGTGGCGTATTGGGCATCCACAGTATGCGTCTTCAGTTGCCACTCAACGACCCTAGGTGTTCTTAGGACGGCCACGTTTCCTCTTCCCGTATTGAGTCCTTTCCAGAGCTTGTCCAGAAACATTTCTAGACTAGATGGGTGGTACAAGGGCTGATGTTTCATTTTTTTATATTTTTAATTTTTTACCGCGGATGGCAAACGCACTAGCCGAGTTAAAGCCTATTCACTTATGCCTTGAAGACACGACCGTTAGATTTTGATGGAAAGACAGACGCACGAAACGGTTAGTTCAGAATGAAACCCTTCCGTTTCTCATATGAAGATGGAATGCATTCCTGTAACAGTCTCCAAAATCTTCTCACCGTTATTTTTTGATGTCTAGCTTTTCATTTTTTGATCCCCTCTCTTCTCTTTTGCACCGGAAACTCACCGCTCAACTGAGCGCGCCCGCAAATGAATTTTTGTCTTTTGTACCGAAGACTATTCCAAAGTTCACGAACCATGTTATGTCACAATGTTACTTTCACATCATTGTTATTAATATGTGGACCCTCGAGGCCAATGGTTTATTAATGGTTTAATGTCAACGGAACAAATCCTAAAACGACATCATATTTTTGCAGTGAAGATCATTTAAATTATTTAAAAAAAACAGTCATAATTACCTAATTATTTATTAAAAACCCATAAATTCAATACTTACAGTTAAAATTTTCTTAGAAGAATTACTGCAAACCATAACGAATAACCAAAACTGATATATTGAAATGTTTCAATATATCAGTGAACGCAAATAAAACATGAAAATATTATTGCGACAACACTTCAACATGGCATAACGAAATCTGTACCGTGTTCGGCGCGGCTTGTAAACCATACCGCGTGGCGGTTTTAATTCGTTCGCGACAGCTGACAGGTGCGGACGTTGAACGGAGTTTTCAAAATAGTTTCTTCAATTCATGTTTTATGAAGTGGCGCTAAAACTTAACCTAAAACTTTCCAGGTGTAAGTGTGATACTTACACGTGGAAAGTGTCTTAGAATTTAATTGAAATTTAAAAACATAATATTCTCATTACGCCAGATGAACTAATATAGATGTTGTAGATGTGCATGGGCGGCGGAAATTTCTAAACATCTGGTGAACCTGCCGGTTTGTTTGACAACTTTCACATAAAAAAGAACTAAGTGAAACGTACATATATTTAGTGAGAAATAAGTTTATTGTGGTAAAAATAAGAACTCTGAATTCTTTAATTTTATAGGCCAATTATTATTTAATAACAATAACATTTAACTTCTTTCGACGTGTTTTTCTAACCAGAAAACGTCTATATCAGTAGTTCATCCTGCCTAATTACAAGAATTAAGTGTCATCGTAACACATTCAATCAAAATAAACAAAGAAGTACAACAAAAACAAACAAACAAAGAATTTGGTCGAAAATATTTCTTCTACGTAAATACAAAGTAGGGCTTAGCGATGATAACTAACCGGTAATGTAGCTGTAGTTCACAAGCAAGGGATTCTCGTCTCGCCGAACGAAGTACCAGAGGAACAAGTACTTTAGGGAGTGCGCGTTGAAGCAAGCTAACTGCTGGATTAACCGAACGCCTTCTAGCCGGTTTGATTGGAGGTTCTCGAAGGAAACTAGCTGTAAACTATCCTGAAAGCTTGCAGTGATAGAAGGAAATATTGATTGCGTGATTCATAAGCGACGATGAGTAATGTTCCCGCATCACGGTCTCATTACGTTGAGGTTGGTAGTGGCGTAGTAGTTGATGACATTGACAACGCTGTAGTACCGAGTTCCAATTCTATTATACCAAAATCCGTTGCTCGAACTCAGTTTCTTATAAGGATATCTGTATTACATTTGGGTTAACAGTATAGGCTTGTTAAGTTTTTCAGCAGCTAAAAATCGTTCCTAAGTAGGAATAGTAGTTCCCACTGACCAATTTTTAGCTGATAACAAAATTTCAAGGGCTAATATTATGATTTGGCTTTATAAACCCAACAAAAAAACATTGAAATCTATAATATGTAAGTACTAGTAAACAAAAATTTATTAACATTCATAAAATGACTATTTGAAGGCTTTATGTATTTAATAAGGAACTTTTCGAAAAAGTTACCTTAAAATGTTTAAGAGACTGCTGAAGAACATCTTCCTTCGGAAATGATCCATGAGGTCAATCTTTATCAACTGGTCGAACACTATCAGACGGTCCATCTGAGCCTGTTCTACCTCCATTTTCTATAGAACAGAAATCACAATGGAAAAGTAAGGTATATAAAAGCTTTTGCTTTATAAAAAAGTAAGTCTACTGTGTAGATTATAAGATTCTTATTAAGAAATTGGATTATTATGGTATTCGAAAATCTGCCTTTGATTTTGTTTCCTCATATCTTAGAGATAGGGAATAAAAGTAACTATAAATGGTGTACCGTCCACGGAATCAATAGTACAAATGGGTGTTCCTCAGGGATCAATCCTTGGCCCATTTCTGTTTTTAGTCTACATAAATGATTTGCCATATGTGGTAGAAAAAAGGTCTCAAACCGTTTTGTTTGTGGATGCCACTTCACTGTTGTTTAGGGTGAATAGGAAAGATGTTACATTAGAGCAACCAAATGAAATACTAAATGTCGTGTCGGACTGGTTTGTGACCAATAATTTCCTTTTGAACGCCACTAAGACTGAATGTATCAAATTTACTTTATCAAAGCTGTCTCACAAACCAGGTATCTTTATTGATGACAACATCCTACCTCTTGAGGATTCAACAGCATTCCTTGGAATATGCATTGACTCCAAGTTGCAATGGGGTGCTTATATAGATAAATTAGCTAAGAAATTGAGCGCTACCGTCTGCCATACGCAAGATCAGGCAACTAATAAATGAGGCAACAGCTAAATTAGTTTGTTATGCTTACTTTCACAGTATTATGTCTTATGGTTATGGTACTTTGGGGTTCCGCATCCGGTTTAGACACGATATTTGTATTGCAAAAGCAAAAGATAAGGGTTGTCTATGGCCTGGGTCCACGTGAGTCCCTTCGGCATATTTTTAAACAAATAAACTCCTTAACGTTCCCGCCGCTATACATACTTAGAACATCATGTATGTACGAAATAACATTCACCTTTTTGCCGTGGTGACACGTTGGAAATACTGAGGCTCAGACTAGCTAAAACCAGGAAATCGTTTCTTGATAGATGTATTACCTTATATAATAGAATAGGTGACATCCAGAAACAATTAATATATAATAGTGTTAATAATTTCAAACATTTTGTAAAAGCCACCTTAATAGAGAAGGCCTATTATAATGTAGTAGGAATACATTACAATGTCGAGGAATATATTTATATATATATATATATATATATATATATATATATATATATATATATATACATATGACCGCAGAGTTTCTTGCCGGTTCTTCTCTTGCAGGTCTCGCTTGGTGAACCGGTGGTAGTTTTTGACGTTCAATAACAGCTTAAAATAAGCCTATGTTGAATAAAGAAATTTTGAATTTGACTTGACATTGAATTAGGAACGAATTTACACAAGGGGAAAGTACCAACCCAACAACAAGTACACTTTAGGATTTACATTGAGGTTGGTATTTCACTGAGAAGTATTCCGTCAATTTTCTTTCTGTTAAAGTGACACCACAGCTGTATATTTCTACTTACTTTTTGCGTAAAATACTAAGGATACTGATAACATGCGCATTTTACTTGTACATGTAAGCATATAACTCCCATGAACGGCTGAAAAAGACAAATGGAACGTATTAATCTACGTTTTAACCTTAAGGACAACTGCCAAAGATCTATGGAACTCCTTCAAATAGTTGGCAGGCGGACGCTTGCGCGCCGCGTGGCATCTCCAGGAGTGGTTCCCCAAGGGCGTTTGCAGACGCAGGTTCGGATACTGGCAGGTGAAGAGCACCTTCTCGCAGTGCATCTGGCCGCGGAAGTACCGCTGCACGTCATGGATTGACCAACAGCCGGTGTCATTAGCCCTGATCGAAATGTTGCACAGTATGTTATTTATACAACTTCACGTCTTCACTTCAACGGCCGCAAGACGTCCACTGTTAATCAAAGGAATTCGTCAGAACGCCGCAACGAACGATGCTACGCCATTTGCGTCAACCGGTTGCCCGCGAGTACGCAGGCGAACGCTGAAGGATCCTAGTTGGATTCCTCAAGCGACCTCTTTAGTTGAAGTTTGCCCTGCCCAACTGAACCGTTTGTCCAAGGTAGAAGACATAGTGGTTAACAACAACAAATTCTGAGTATCTTTCCCAACAATCACTGGTACGGGTGCAACATGAACATTCAACACGATTTTCGTCTTGGCCACGTTCATTTTAAGACCCACCTGTAGGGAAACGGTATTAAGTTCACTGAGCACAGTATTAAGGTTCTCGAGCGGCAATGATGACGATTTCATCATCAGAAAACGAAGCCGAGTGATGTACTCGCCATTGACGTTGACGCCAAACTCGGCCCAGCCCAAGAGCTTAACAATACACATCATTGAGTATTCGCTTCTAGGTCGTAATGATGAAGACGACCTCATTTCTTATCGAAGCATCGAGACTTATCCACTTCCACTTTCTGGATGGACGCTTTAGGAAGAAAGAGTTCATCCTTTCTCTCCTTTCCCTCCTTCTCCATAAACAAACAACTTGTGAGTCAGGTTGTTTGTTACAACAATAGTTCATGTTCACATGAACTATTTGGTTGACCCACAGATAGTTCTTTCCTCTTCTTTCTTTCCTATTCTTTCATCTGGATGTTTATCCGCGTGAAATTTATGTTTGTAAAACGTCCCTACAACACAGGATAATGTTATCCTAAAGTAAGGGCAATGTTTTTAAAAAAAATGAAAAAAATATGTGCAGACCCCACATAGGTGGGGTAAGAGCAGGACAATGAGGCGGAACAAAATTTAAACTCTAATAAAGTAGTCTGAATTGGTCACGAAACCTAACCAGTTATGATTGGAGTGTAACAAATTAAAAAAGCTTAAAAAGAAATGTATGTGAATGAAAAATGTTAGTAGATAAATTGATCCCTGGTTGACCAATTAGGTAATTTGTCAATATTAGGGTCCAAAGTATTCTTTTATTTATTTATTTTTTTTTTTTTATAAACAGCCATTAAATTTTAATCATCCTACAATATTTCGTGTCCAAAAGGCCAATGACGTCTTATCTCAGCCTTCTATTGTCTTTTGTGCTACCGAGTAGCTGTTATCTTGAGCTGACCGATTGCCGGAATACTCTGACCTGTCTTTTGCATAGTTGTTGCAACAATGGTTTTTGTCTTTGAAAGCGGGTCATCCAATCAAACTACCTAGATAAGTTTTGGGAACGTTAAAAACGCTTTTTAAAAACAATAATTAAAACTAATTCTTAAGAGCTAATTGAATACGTGCTCTCGCGATGCTAGTCAAGAGACGAATTGATTCAATCGGTTCCCATACAGACCATGAGAACTGATTGTTTATTATTTAGTCTAAAGCTTATCATCTAGGAATGTGACGTCTAAACACATCTCAAATGCTGACAGTCGTAATAAGGCGTCCGGGTGTGTGCATAACTACCTTGAAATTTATGATTATTTTTATAATGTTGACCAATTATTTTAATCTTCTGACCAATTGTGTGTATTTCTTAACATCCTAGGAACTTGCTTGATATTGCAAAATTAGTATTTTAAGGTGCTTTACCAGGAAAAGTTTAAGTACCTAGCTTTTTTAATGTTTGTTATTGAGACTTAAATAACATTGAACAATTATCAAAATTAATTGACCAATTTATGACCATTTTGTAATCAATTGACCAATTGTTGTAAGCTAAGCTGCCAAAATGTTTCCCGGTGAACGTCTGTAGTGCCTTTAAATCGACGTTGTATTGTCATATGTCACCTCAGTACATAGTCGGCGAGCTGTAAGCCATCATTGCTTGGGACGTAATGCAGCCAGATGAACGGGTTCCGGAGCCAGTCTTCAAAGGCAAGGGCACCAGGACTAGGGCGGTATTTCCGAGCCTTGTTAGCAAGGTAGTCGCTGACTGGAGTGCAGCAGTTACAGCTCTCTGCGATACAAAGGGAGCGTACCGAGTATTCCCATGGATTTAGTAATGAATCGATTATCACTCTCAATAAGATAATGTTCCGCCTCTCGGTCCTCGACCACTGACCTCGATTTCATGCGTAATTTGTACGAGTTCGTAATTATACATTTATATATAAACGTTCACGCCTATCTGAGTGCTTGGATTTTCTATTTAGCCTATGACCTATGCCACATTTAACGTTGGTAATGCACGAGGGTAAGGGCATATTTTGGCTTATAAATCGGTAAAAATTCCGAACAGTACGTCTCGTTTTTCAAGCTAGAAAAAAATTTTAATCGATAGAGAAACGTTAATAATTAAATATTAAATACATGAAAACCAAGGCAAACACTTTTAATAAAAAAAAAATATTTACAACTTGTTATTTTCACTAAATAAATCCGCCATTTTGTGTTTGACAACATGTATAAATTTACGAATTCACACACTTTTCCAAATTATAACCTTCGCATTATTAAAAAAGAGTCTTTAAAAATTCTAAAAGTACTGTTACACTAAAGTTTTCTGGAGGCTAAGGCGGGAGCCAAGCTCCCAATAACCGCCTTAACCTTCTAACCTAACCTATCCGAGTCGGATCGCTCTGTGTCGGATCTGTGACTCATTTTGAACCTAATATTCGAGACATTAAGTGTACACTAAGTCACAAATTTTAAATATTAGAAATTGTTAATAATACATGTTCATGAAGTAGAAACTTGTGTTTTTGTGATATATCTGTGCATTTGTGTCACTTTAAAACGTAAAAAGTGAAAACGTAAGTTTTTAACTTAAAATAATAGTCTATAATGAATAATGGACGCACAGTAATGACGGATTTCAGTTGTATGAAATTTAAAAACTTTGTTAATTTTTTCCTCATAATCTAGTGGTTTTCATTGATTATAACTTATATAATATTTAATTATTAACATTTCTCTATAGATTAAATTATTTTTTATCTAGCTTGAAAAACGAGACGTACTATTCGGAATATTTCCCATTTTTCATTCGTTAATATAATAAATATAACATAAACAATTACTATTTTGAAATAAGTGTATTTATGATTCTTATTTCTATTTAATATTTTCGAGGGGTTATTTCTTTGTTTTCTAGTCTGGTTGGGTTTATAGATAAAAAATAAACATATAAATATATATTGCATAAATAAAATAAATATTATGATCGATGAAACATATAGCTATAAATATTGTATATAATACATATATAAATATCGAAGCATTGAGGACCCAACCAGTAATTTTTATATTTTTATTAAAATTACTGGTTGGGTCCTATTTATAATTAATACAGTAATTAATTTAATATTTTTATTATTACCATCGTCACCCATTCGCAAAAACGTAGATAATTTAATTAATATGTATAATTAAATAAGTTGCGTATAAATGTGATGGTTGTTGACGTCTTGTCAAATTTCAACGACACCAAAGAGAATGTAATCACTACGTTTATGAACGACATTAGTGTAGACAGTGTACAAAAATGTATCGCAATTAGCCTGTACTATTTATTGCAATATAAGATATTTCAAGTATAATTTATTTATTTATTTATTTTATTAACCTTAACGAACTTCATGCTCAAAGGCATTCTCTACAAGCGAACCCAGGTGTGAGAGTGGTGAGAGGATGTGTTAATAAGAATACTTAAATATATATAAAGATGTATGTGTATATGTAGGAATGACCAACGACTTTAAGCGTCCTTCGACTTTCCTACTCTTATACAAAACCTTGGTTAGTTCTCAATTAGAATTTGCTGTTCCAATCTGGAATCCCTTCTATGAAAAGTACATTTCAAGATTAGAGATTGTACAAAAGAAATTCTTACGCACTTAAATGTTTTCACGCTAGGCTTTCTTATGTACAATTATTAGAAAAATATGAGTCATTGTGTTTGGAGTCCAGGCGCACTCTTGCTATGGCTATGCTGTTATATGGATAATGTAATAATAAATTCGACTGTATGGAGCTTAGTAACAGGATTGCTTACATTGTACCAAGAAGAGTTACCATACGCGTTGCACGCGTGCCCCGATTATTCTACACTAAAAAGTGTAGAACAAATGCAATTATATAAACCAAAAAATTTATGAATTGTGATTTGTTTTCACTTTCCAAAAATCAATTTAAAAGAATGGTTACACTAATACTTAAAAAGTAATATGCAAATTAGGCTAGGAACCTTACTCTTTTTATTTTATTTAACTTAATATTATTTTGCGGACATTGGTGTGGGTTATACGTTTAGTTTAACAATTAGAAATTATATGTATAATTGTTAATGTATACTTGTTGTATGTGTAAAAAAAGATGTATACTAATTGTTTTATAAATAAATAACGATTTGCCTCTATTTTTAATTATAGTCTATATCTTAAGTCAAGGTTGTCTTTAATAAGTGTTCAAGGACCATTATTTTGAAGGATGGCTTACTTTTTGCGTTTCTTACGTTATCGGGCAAGGAGCTCCAAGATATATAGAGTATAGCTTGGTTGGTAAAGGAGGTAACAGAGAACCCGATGAACTCTGGAATGCGTAGTTTATTCGTATAAGACGGCCGAAATACCCATCATGAGAAGAGGAGATTCACGAATTTGTATTTGATTTGATCGTTACATGTGTCTGATCTCGAAGTTGTGAAATCTAAAAGTTAAGATAACATAATTTATCGGTTAATGTAAATTAATTAAAACTATAAGACACGGATAACATTCCACTAAACTATTAATCAATCAAAATAAATAAATCGTAACATATTTATTGAAATAAAATATTATATTACAACTAGCGTACCGGACACGCGTCTTTTACACACGTCTTAAATATAATAACTTTGTGAATCTACGCCATTCTCAAATCCACCTGAAGACACCCAAAAAGTTTCACGTAAATCGGTCCAGCCATTTAGGAGGAGTTCATTGACATACATATGTACAGAAGAACAAGAATTATATGTATAAAGATAAGTCATTGGTTATCCTATTCCCATTGCTATATTTTTAATCTGCTGATAGTGAGAACTCCGAACTTTTAATTATCTATGATTTTAAAGAAATAAAATCATTGGCAATAATTCGTAAACATCGGATTAATTAAATGATTAATTATCGGGTATTTTTTATTTGCAACGTTATTTTGTGCCATTTTTATTATTTGCAAAAACAGCAATAACATAACATTTCATAAAAAAAATATTTTAACGACATTTTTGAATATAAAATTTTTTGTTAATTTTAAAACAATTACAATAAATAAACAAAATATAATTTTTAAAAAGCATTCTATGCGTAATCTAGTTTAGTAGGTATATACAGGGTGTTTTTTCTAAGTCTATTCTAAGTAATCTATTTTTTTTATTACATTCTACACATAAATAATATTATAGTACCTGGAGGACCGAACTTTGCTCGGTTTGTTTTTTTTTTGGTAAATCGTGTATTTTGAAAATTACATTTAGATACAAATTACTAAGTAATGAAATATGCATAAGTAATGAAACCGATGCATAATAAGAAAATATGAACTGTTTTTTCGATCTTACCGACGTAAAAGCAATGAAGAAAAAAAATATGAAATGTGTAAATGATTGATACGAACCACGTTCGTATTCGAATAATAACTTTCATTCCCTGAAAAGTGGGATAAAACGACATTTTCTAAAAATGAAACCTAGTCAGATCGATTTTTCGCCCCCGAATCTACGCATATATTATGATTCCAATTATATATATATATACAGCGTGTCGTTACCATCGCGACAATAAATGAACACACGTCTATCGCTACTTGCCAATAATCATAAAAAAATATATAGTAACGTTTTTCGCCTCCATAATTAAAAAATATATTTTCAAACAAACTAATTAAGTAAAAAAGAAACAAAATTTGTAACATCCTATACAACTCGCGCACAGCGTCGTATTACAAGCCTCTCCTTCTAACAGTATGTTTTGTCTCTTTTAAATTTATTCAACCAATTCAAATGCTTTGTGACCTTTACAAATGAACTTTACGTTACGCTTTTATAGGTAAGGGTGTTCTAAAATTCTTTGTTTTGGAAATTTAATAACTCTGTAAATATTGATGTTTAAAGAATTTAAATGTTTAATACAACTTTAAAAAGTTATCCCCTATATGTGTGTTCATTTATTGTCGCGATGGTAACGACACGCTGTATATAATATACAAGAATTGCTCGTTTAAAGGATAAGATAAAAAATGATAAATATTTAAAATCACTCTTTAAGTTATTAATTACATTCATTTGAACTTATCTCAAAAAGTGCGTGATTTATACGCTCATTTATTTTACGCGCGATCATTCATAACCAACACGCACACAAGTTCGTGCACAGTAAAATTTAGGTATTTATAAATGACTACCGCATCGTCAACACGTTCTGTTTTTTAGGGAATAGAATGAATTTCATTTTTTGGAAAAAAAACCTTTGTTTTTTATTTCAATAAACGATTATACCACCGAGTCTGAACCTTCTGTGTAGATTTGGGCTCCTAACCAAAACAAAACAAAAAACACGTGAATTATTTAATTTTTGTCTCACCTTCCTTTGTAAACGGAGATCCGGTAAAAATTCGTTGGTTAACAATTGCATAACTTTTCGAACAATCGACCTAAAGCTTTTTCCCAACGGGAGCTTATTCTTTGAACCTATATTATACATTGAGGTGCAAAATAAAACAAACATTATTTGGAATTTTGATATATTTGAAAAAATATACAAAGTAATAATTAATGTTACACTTATTCTGCTTCTGTACAGTTTAAAAATAATTATTGTTACTAATAAATGCGTTACATAAAATTAAATAGGTACTTAAAATCATTCCGAATGTTCACCGAAAGGTTGCGTAGTTGAAATACGAACAATAATTTAAGATAACCATTTGTATAGATATGTGCAACGAAACAGTTAAACGTATTATTTACAATGCAAACAATTACAACAGTATTTAAAACATCTTAAAAATGACGAGGCATTAAATAAATCATTCATAAAGTGGGGTCAAACCACTAAAGGCTTCATCTTGAAATGAAAACTGCTTTAACTTAATCTAAAACGTTTGAAAATTCAAAACGTTTGATAATAATTATATGGTCAAAAAAGCGGTACAGAAAGAAGGAATGCCTCATGTGTACAAAATTTAAGTCTAGTCTCTTCAGTTATATGAAATTCATGACATTATGTATAGATATGGACGTGACAAAAAAAGTCTTATACAAGGCGTCAGCTGCAGATGCGATATTATTTCTGGATCTAATCTGGTTACTCAGCAAAAGTGTTCAAAAAAGTTCATAACATAATGTTAATCAATTGCCAAAACATTTTTCAAAAATTTCCAATGGTTCAGTTTATTTTCTAACACAGCTAATAATTTTAGGAATGTTACATGTATGAAAATGACATATTATGTAATAATTAGTGTTACAACTATTTCACATTTAAAAACACCAGAATGTCTGTCAAACATCAATTACATTATTACGTGTAAGTACATTGAATATTGGGACACAAACTTACGCTATTAACACGGCGAAAGGGTATTTCACTTGCTCAACTAATGGGCAGTTCACGGAGCGGTTTTCCGTGCTTTCATTGAAGTTACACTTCTTTTGGGGCGTTCGGAAAAATCATGTGTAAAAGTTTACGACGATTTTTAAAAGCGGTATGATGAGGTTGGCTGCAATGCGGCCAACATCGGCTGCTTTACGGTATTACCACGGCAACCAACAATTTAGCATCACCTAAGCCCCGAGTTGTTTAATGAGACCGTTATCAATTGCATGTGATGTCACAGGGGATAACATTTTTAATTATTTTTCTTTTGTTTCCCACGCCAGATTTAGAGGTCCGGAAGCCTCGGTGCAACAAAGGAGTGGAGGCCCCTAAGCCCCAAATTATTTTCTATTGATTTCTGTTAATATTTAATGTAATCATGTGCAACAAAGTAATGTAACAAAGTGCTGTAGGTAAAAGTAAAACGCGAAAAAATATGAAAGGAGTTGTTTACTATTGTTTATTAGTCTGAATTTGTATTTTTTTTTCGAAGTCTCTACTGTGGGGGCCCCTCGTTTGTGGAGGCCCCGGGGCTGTCGCCCCGGTCCCCTAAATCCGGCCCCGTTTGTTTCGCCAAAGAAGTATATCTTCTCGCGTGCGTATCGTGCCATCGGAAAGACGGAAGCAATCAAATACCCTATTCGCCCGAGAGTCGATTTAACCTAACATTTGGATTACAACAACGTCCTAAACGGCACAATTAATCTTTAACACTATCATGATTATTTAGAATAACTCATCTACGCTGTTTACCAACTTTGAGTAAGTCGTCATTGTCTATTCTATTCGAATAATACAAAAAACGTAATGGATGATACATCGAAGGGAGTTCAATGAGTTAATGAGCTAAATTTGCACAGTCTCTCAGAATGGCTAATCTAGGAAGAATGTTTTTTTTTTATGTTTTCATTTTTTTCTCTTTACAGCAGTAGTTAGATACAGGTCTGGTATTAAAAAAGTAATATCAAAAACGCCAACGTAAATCTCTCGCTGACGTTGAGGGGACGCCATTAACGCGTTTCGATGGTAAATGTTATTTTCCACCATACGAAACGGATTGTGGCACGATGTGGTAAGCTTTACTAGCATACTAGTATACTAGTGCACTATATAGTACAGTAGCTTTTATCCACCGAAGCGCCGAGAGAGATTTCATCGGTTTCCGGACGAAGTTTTATTGTCAGTCAACTACACGGCAATAATTCAGTCTTGACGTATCGACGAGCGCGCTCGCACGAGCTGTCATCGTAATCGGTGAAATGATGGCCAATGGCCAATAAAAATGGTGATCGAGTGCGGAACTCTGTGTCGGCAAACGGATGCACGGTTAACAGTGGACGCTTCTTATTAGTACGCGGACTGTGTCATTTGGAAAGTTGAATTGAGGAGGGCGTCGCGGGTATGTGAAGCATTGATATTTTTTTAATGTTTCTTCGACATCGAGGGCGAACGTTGATACGTTTAAATGTGGTGACACGGGAGGACCTTAAATTACACACATATAATATTATTATAGAAAATGTAAGGTTGGACTACGCTACACATATCTTACATATCACTTAGAACCATCAATTTTAATTCACTATTTATGGACTATGAGTAAGTATATGATTAGTCATTTTCAAGAGGGAATGAAATGATTTCCAATTAATGTCATACAACAAATATAACTGCTAGGAAAAGATGACATCTCCGTGCATATTGGTGACAGAACAAATATTTAGCCGTTTATATGTATAAAGGAATGAATGTTTAGCAACATACAGTAATATGGCACAGCCCTTTTTATACAATCATTACAAGTGCTAAAACAAAGTCTTAAGCAAAATATCCTATTTATAGTAACAAATCACACAAATGTGTCCATGTTACATTATTTTCTATATGTAATAAAAACCCATAGCTGACATGAAATTCCTATAATTATCAGCGTCAAGATGTAACCGCTGCCTCTCTTAATGCTAACACATAAAATTGATATCTTCTAAAGGCAGGGTTCAAAGTATTGACTAATGATTATATCAATAAGACTATTTGATCTAGATTTGAAATGCAAATATATATTACTTTTTGTATTATTCAAATCAATTGAATTCCTCTAAAGACATTCTCAGTTTATGGAACAATTACTCTAAGACATTATCAGACTATTGTACTAACGCCCGGTTTCTGAGACTGATCATCGTAGATGTCAACTAATCAGCTGTCAAATGGATTTTCAATTTCCATTTTAATTGCCAAAGGGATGATGAAACTCTGTATTGAACAGAATGATCAATTCAAATAGTTCAACCATCCTTTTGGCAACTCAAATGGCAATTTTAAAAGCCATTTGACAGCTGATTAGTTAACATCTACGATGACCAGTGTTTCAGAAACTGGGCATAAGATTGTGAAAATTTTTTTTTTATAATAGAACAATACTACCAATACTCAATTTAAGAGAGGCATCAGGTAGAACACATGTTTGTATCTTGTTTAATATTTAGCTAGGAACATAATATAAAATTGACAAAATCCCAACATGTGTCATGAACGCATCTCGTGGGGTCCACTTGTCTTGTAATAACTAAACAATAGGCAGAAATACTTCGGGACTATTGTATAGGATTACATTGACAATTTTATTTTTATTTAAGAGAGGAGAGGTTTTTTTCCTTATAAGTAACGTTTTCGATTTAACACACTGCTTTCGCTGATAAAGTGTAGAAGCAAGTGGACCCACGGGAACAATCCTACATACTTTACTATACCTTTCTTTAATAGCACCGCCATTCAAGTTATTACATACCGCTAACTTTTACCACCTTAACATTTCTGTGGACCCCCAATAACATTTTGGGTAACATTCCGCTCACTCCCAGAACTGTGTTCTGTCGTCCTCGTCCAACTTGGCAATAAAATTGTTAAAAATCAACTAACAGTCGAACGAGCAGCGGCGGGTATCGCAACAGCCGTACAAACTTACCGATCGTCCGAACATCACCAACCGTCCCCACGCCATAAACTATCACAATTGTCCAGGGATCGTCATCATAGTTCTCAGCGGTTCTTCACTCACAATACTACATAATAGACGCAAATCAACAGACGATGCAAAAACTGCCACTAATACGACATACAGAATGTCATGCTACATGGAGACAGCGCTCTCTACACTAATTGACACTGTCCGACTGGGCCACTTTAAGCGGTGTGCTGCACGGAGGGAAGGGAATGGGAAGAGAGATGTGTGGAGTCGCTCCTCCTCGGGGGGGCCGGTGGCGGGCGCTTCTTGACGGGCTTCGGCTGCTCGCGAGGAGTGACCTCCCTGCCATACATGTTTTCGTAGAAAGGCTCCTCCACCGAGCCGTAGTGCTCCTGAACCCACATGGAGACGCTGGTCTCCTTGTAGTCCTCCGAGAGCGGGTATTCGCGAAAGCCGAGCACCTCGTGGGGAGTGGTGGCCGGCTCCAGCTTGCACTTTTGCGCCACCTGCCACTTCTTGCGCATAACTCGCTGGAGGTCCTTGAGGAACTCCTTGGGCGGGTTGCTGTTCGACTCGGCCAGCTTCTTGGGCGACGAGAGGCGCGTGCTCTCGTTGCGTTTCGGCGGCGGCGGCTTCCGCGGCGAGGGGGGCGACGGCTCCTTGAGGTTGAAGGTGATCTTCTTGGCCTTCCTGCCCTCCGAGCAAGTGGGCAGGTCGTCGGCGAAGTTGACCTTCTTCACGGAGCCGGTGCGCTCCTTGCCCGGCTCCGTGAGCTTCCTCTGTATCGATGGGCTCGTCAGCTTCTTCGACTGCAGCTCGACCAGGCAGGCGCCGTACGCGGCCGTCTGTCCGTGCACGCTCTTGTCCGAGTGCAGGGACGACGTCCTGGACGCCTCCGAGTGGACGCTGTCCAGGGACGGCTGCCTCGGGAAGGAGCGTGTCTGATCGGGGTTGCGGGAGGTGCGCGATTGGCCGGCCCTAGCCGTTTGCTCGATTTGCTGCGTGGTCAGTTGGCTCACGATGTCGTGGACCCGCCCGGTGTGCGGTTCGATGGCGTGCTCTGGCGGCGGCGGGGGCAGGCTCAGCTGCGAGCCGCAGATGTCCTCGATGGGGTCCATCGGCGGCGGCGGCGGCGGCGGCAGCGAGTCCAGGCTCAGTGTGGAGCTGAACATGGCGTCCGGCACGTCTTCGGGCGGCGGCGGCGGGAGCTCCTCTACGTTGGCCACTTCCGGCCGCTGCACCTTGTCGTAGACGGCGGCGTAGCCGTAGAGCGACGAGTCGGTGTCTACGCTGGTGCGGAAGTTGTCGCGCTGAATAGTCTCGTAGTGCACGTAGGCGGGCGTAGGCTCGTGGCGCACCGGACTTATGCCGGTGCTCAGGTGACCGCCACCGGTCGTTGTTGCATACACCGCGCTGTCGGCCGACTCTGTTGACAAACGATAGAAGATCAGTAACATTGCTCAATGCAGATGAAGTAGCGAACAGAGTGGAAGAATGGGATACGTTGCCAATTACGATGGAACATACTAGAGATAAAACAATTTGTTGATGCTTTTCCATACCAAGTGCTGGTGTCCAAGGATCGTTTCTGAGCTCTGTTTTTTGGTTAAAATGGACAAGAGATTAATTGATTAGATGTATTTGGTTAATCTATTGCAGCTTTTGAGTTATCGGGACGCAAAACGAAAGATAGTCCTTTAAAGTTTCTTAGGAGCCTTCAGTGTGCTTACCCGCGTGGTGTCGCTTCAGTGTGGAGTCGTCCCTTGGTCGGGGCCGTCTCGTGAGGGTCCCGCAGTCGGGCTCCCCTTCGCCGGGCGTCGAGTCCGTCTCCGCCATTTCCTTCAGCTGCCTCGTCATCCATGTCAGCGGGATGTTGGGCTTCATAGACGGCTTGCGCTTTATCGTGCCTGTTGGATATAGACATTAATAATAATAATTCCGTATTCCTCATCACAGTACTATATGTATTCCAAGTGATGTCTGCAAATGTTGATTTCGTAATTTTTATTATTGTATATTTAATTTAGTGTCTTCTGCTTGACCGCGATGAACTCCTAAACTGAACCGGTTTTGGATCAAATTCTGTGTGCAGTTGGTTCCAACGATGGAAATAGGATAGTTAATAAATTAATTTATAGTCACCATATTTTTTATTGAAAATTATTTGTTTATTATAGGATAAAGAGTTATAATTATCTGCGAGTTCCATAAGATTTGTACAGATGGCGGTATAAGATAAATTTATCGTCTCGATTGAGTAACTGTCCAATAGATGGCGTTATGTTAAAAGTCCAGACATGGACCCGATAGATTTGACGCTGTCGAAGTTGGGCGGACCAGCTAATACTTTATATTTGAGAAAGAGTTAATTAGAATATAAATATAATTACGTTGAGATTAAAGCTAACACTTAACTTTAAACCACTATGGTACGGGTTTTTGTTCTTGTGTATGTTTTTGTGCGTGGTAGTGTGCGTATGGGTGTTTGCATGTGTGCGTGTCTTATTTATCTATGTTGTTTTATTTGCCTAAAAGTAATATGATTGTGATTGATAACATTAAATGTCGTTTTATAAGAATCTTTTTCAGTGATTTGGATGACACAGCTATCAAAACACAATTGAGTTTCTCTGTAAGTAAAGATTTATTGTAAGATGTTGAATCTATTACATAAATAATAATTAAAATAACAAAAATAAATGATTTTACTATTACAACTTTACCTGTAAGTAAAGAAACGACATTTAATGTTATCACAATGTCGATTCCTAAGTCACTATTTGACTTATTAAGTATTTTTGTAATAAAATTATTTTCATTTATTTTTGAACTGAATATGACAACTTAATTCTTTTTCTGTTATAATCCGGCGTCAAACATAGTTTTTGAAATAAATTTTATCAACGGCCGGTGCGCATTATCACTGGTACATACTTTTCTTTCAAATACATACAAAGCACTGAAACAACACTATGTTCAACATGAAATATTTATCCAGTAGGGGGATTAAAGTCGGCCCTTTGATTTGGGAGACCGCTTCAGTATCTACAGCGCCAATAGGGTCGAGTTAGTCAACTATGCTTTAGCAAAGGTTCTGCACTTAACGAAGGACGAAAGTTCCATCTGTTTAAGTACAGTGCCTTTATTTAATAAATGGAAATAAAGGTTGGATTCTAGTCTTTCAGTGACCATACCATGGGGTACGCCTCATACGGTAGACCTTATGATAGACCATGAGGGCTACACTATAGACCTTTGATAGCGTTCACGGCGTGAATTGGAGATGTTATACTTCTGCGATTCTTCTGGTCAGTGAGATGGCAGGGGCACACTTTATTATAAGGTGGCAGCGCATCTGCAACCCTACGGCTGTTGCGAAGTGCCCACGGGCGGCGGTTGTCACTCACCATCTGGTGCACCGCCGGCTCTCTTGCCACCATCTCACATAAAACAAAACCCAGACACGTCAAACCTACAACACTCCTATTTTTACATCGGGGGCTCAGAGATAGTGCCCGTTGCCCAGGGATGGGACTCAGAGATAGTGCCCTTTGCCCAGGACTGGGACTCAGAGAGGGTGCCCGTTACCCAGGACTGGGGCTCAGAGAGAGTCACCGTTGCCCAGTACTGGGGCTCAGAGAGAGTGCCCGTTACCCAGTACTGGGGCTCGGAGAGAGTGCCCGTTACCCAGTACTGGGGCTCAGATAGTGCCCGTTGCCCCATACTCACCCATAGGGAACTCGCAGTCGAAAGCGCTCTCGGAGGCAGTGCCCCCGTCGGAGAGGCATCCACTCGAACTGGACGACGACGCACGGGAATGTCTGCAATCCGTCAACAGTTCAGATAGGCGAAGAGCGCGTGCCACGCCTACCCGTAAATCAATCGCAAGGCAGAACAGCAAACAGTTGCCAGTGAGGCAATAATTAGGGACATAGTACATATAGAACGTTATCTAGTCCTAAAAGCGAAGCTTGGTAACCGATAAACATACTTAAACGTATAATATAAACACCCAGACATTAGATAAACACTATTGTAAATCGCAATATTTTTATAGTAGTGGGCTCGAACCCTCCACCCTCTGGCGCAAGACAGGTACACTATCCACTGCGCCAATAAAAAAACATCGAAGGTGATATTAAAATGTTTATTTAAATAAGTTTGCAAATAAAACCAGTTCAGAGAAGTAAAACAGTAACAGTAAGAATCATAGAAGTCCATTTAAGTAAATATTTATATATAACTATTATATAGTGCGACGGTTACCATTTATTTAAAAAAAAAATGTTTATCCAATCGCTACCTAACCTCATAGAATCACCCGCTGCGATGATCTAAAGATTACTTGATAATTTCATCAAAAACGGGCCAGCCGTTTAGGAGACCATAGGGAATATACATAAATTGACTTTTACATAATATAGGTTAAACTAACCCTATGAAACTTTTGTTGTACCGTGATTAGTCACGGAACGGATTAATAATAATTTGTAATAAAAGTATTATATCGAATTAAAAGTGGGCGACTGGACAAAAAAACAGTTCTTTTTAAATATTTATCAATGAAATCTGTCTTATTTCGAATTAAATAACGCCATTAATTTACTTCGTTTTTTTCTTCTTCATTTAAAAAAAAATGCCAATAGATGGCGTTATCGTACATTCTTCGTAATATTTCTTTTTAAACGAAAGGCTTTTCATGAAAAAGTTTTCTTTATTCTACTTGTCTATTTTTCTATTTTATATGGCGTTAAAGAAGAACTTTAAAACTGTGTTTCAATCAATTCGACGTAGAATGAGGGAAGTTATGTCAATCCAACAACAAACACTTTTTAAAAAAGACAGAGTTATTCTCGGATTATTTTAAAAAAAAAGTGTTTGTTTGGATAAATTTCTTCGATAAGGTTATACATATTCGTAAAATGCCATATAGTGCCTTACCTCTCAAGCTTTGGTGGTAGTAGTGGGCATCAATCAGCAAGAACGCAAGTTTTTACTAACGTTAAAAGATGGCGCTATTGTAAAATCGCGTTTTTCCACCAAACGCCCATCTAAATAAATTTAGAAGCAAACCCGGATCCCGATTGATAACAATGTTTGATCAACGCCTTAAAGCAGGCGATTCATCGGGTGTTTAGTGATAACCACTGCCCATTGACATTTGCAACACCCATAGTGTTGTAGATGCGTTGCCACCTTTTAATGAAGTGGGCCCCGGCTACCTCACTCAACAGACGAAACGCAGAAGTATAATTCCAGTTCTCATCGTTCTTCTCTGAGGTCGTGGTACTTCCCTAGACGGACCTGCCCATGCGTGCAACTGAGGAGACGCGTGGCCCTACCACAGTTATGTTGAGTATTACTTACTAATACTATTAAGAAATTCTCGGTTTACACAAATCTCTAGATGATGATGGGTCCTACGGATTAAGTCATGAATTGTAAAGAAGTGTATAATATTAGTTAAACTAGTGTTAGTTAATAATTTAAACCTTATTGGTTTATATTTAATTTTATTTATTGGTATACATGGGAATTATTTTAAATAAACTGCAGCAATATAAGAAATAGCGTTTTATGACAATCGCATGAAATAGCAATAATAACGCATAGCGATAGGTTTGGGCCGTGTGAGACGCAAAAAACGTTTAGTGAGTTCAAAAAATAAATAAATTCGCAAAAAAAGGTACATAGCTTTAAATATTACTAATTTAACTTAACACTTTAGATGTTTGACGGGATTCTACTAGAAAATTTAATCTTGTTTATTATAAGGCAATGCACAGTGTGGAACTAGTTGACAGCGTCCAAGGAAAGTTTTTCTTTTAGACGGTACTGTTCGGAAACTGTAACGGTGACTGCATTTGTTCGTAGACTTATTGGACGAGCACCGTAGCAGAGGTTAGACACGCCTGGGTGCTACGTAGACGGCCAACCGTAGCATATAACGGTTACGAGAATTTTTCCTATATTCAATATAGTCTATATGCTTCAAACTCTTAGTGAAGGGTCAAAAAATCAAAACCACCGGTTCACTAAAATAGATGACCAGATGCCAGGATGCCCAGCAACACGGGCCGGCCTACGAGCAAGCAACCGTCGACCGTTCCCCGTTGACGATAAGGTCGTCATTCCAGTGGCACCGACCTGCCGCTGCTGATGTCCGAGTTGGCGACGCTGGCGCCGCTGCACGCGGACTGGGCGGGGCTGCCGGAGCCGGCGGCCGCGTTGCCACTCGCCTTCGCCGGGATCGAGGATATCTGCGGCCGAGTGGGCAACGGTGAGTTGGTGCAGTTCGTCGATCGAAAGTTAACTGTAACTACTGGCAAGGTTATTAGGCCTTGTATCGGCCGGACAGTTTTGTTCTGGCCATCGCGGTCTAGCACACTAGCGACCCCAAAAGCAAACTGATGGATATGTTGATGTCATGATAATCGATGGATGCTGCTTGATCGATGGTTGCAGTCGGCAGGTGAGGACTGTATTCAGCAGTGGACTAGAACGAGCTGGAATGGTTACGATGATGCCAAATGGAAGGGTAACCCCCATTACACGATCACGCATTCGTAAAACTTATTGGTTTTGAGAATCTCATGAGTTCGGTGAAAGTTCAATATTCCATCCATAGGTAGAACATCTATTTTTAATGTGAGAAACGGGGCATACGAGCTGGTGGTTCACCTGATGGTAAACCATACTTCCATTGTGTTTATTGTTTAGTACAATGTGGTAAAAGGCCTAGTTTTAATTGTGTCTGCCCGTATACTTACAGAGCACGAGCGCGCATGGGCGAGATGATCCAGGTCCTCCTGCGTCAACTCTTCGACCAGCGAGCGGTAGTTCTCCAGCAGTTGGCGGCCATGCTGCAATAGAAATGAAGGTCAGTGGATCCAAACATTAACAGCAACCATAATGCCATATCATATGTTGAAGTATGCATACGTAACAGTCATGTCACACACACAACGAAAGTTAGACAGAGATTATCGATATGCCTGCGTCCACAAGTAGATCGTTTTCTTGGACTACACATAACGAAGCAAAATTAGTTCCTTTTGCTGTGCGTTATCGCTTTCAAAATTGTTCTCATCCAAGCAACTATAATCCCCGAGAAACATAAGGTGTTAACTATTTGGGTATATTCATTTATAGTTTGATATTATTGGACCTCGATACAATTGAGGTCTTATATGTCTAAAATAGATTGAAATCCATCTGCCCCTCCGGTTCAAGTATATTTCATTAAGTTCAGAGAATAGCACTATAAAAATTAATATCATAAATAAAGACTAAATTTGCATCGTTATGATATTAGATTCGTTTAAAATAAATCAATTAAGTTTATAGTGTTCGATATAAATATGTACATATTTTATACATAAAAAATAATCATATAAAACTAGCCAACCGCACGGTTGTAATGTATTATACATATAAACCTTTCGCGAAAAAAACGTATCAAGATCCGTCGCGTAGTTTTAAAGATCTAAGCATACATAGGGACAGATAGACAGCGGGACGACTTTGTTTTATACTATATAGTGATTAAGTGTGATTTTTATAGACTGGTCTGCATTTGTACAGTACTTTTTTTTAGTGAAGGGAGACAGTTATATCGACAGTTGTCAAATAGATTGATATTTCATGTACAGTTGCGCGAGCGGCTAACTAATAATGGATTGAAACGACTGACGTTTTGTTAATTTGTTTCAAGTCGAGAGGGGACGATTTTGAGGTAGGGGTGCTAACAGGGGTGAATTGAGGGGTGCAGCTGTCCCAATTCGTAATTAGGGTCGATAAGGGAAGCCCGGCTTGGGGTGCGTAGCAATATCGATTTTTTGATGACTCATCCCGCGTGGCTTTCGGAGTTATGTTTTACGTGGTAAGTCTGCATACGGTTTTTTTTATAATGACCTATTGTTTTTATTTAATTTTTTTATTATTCTCCGTGAACACTGCACATTGATTAAGTAAACGATTTTTATTATAGTAGATAGATTTTGTAGCGTTTGGTTTAAGTTAACTCTGTGCCCGTGACAAAATTCTCGTAACGTTAGATTATTATAGATAATAAAAGAAAAGAAAATAACGGGTTGTCCAACCCCAATAAACTCTTCCAAGATAGACATGATCGATGAACAATTCTCAATAAAAATGAGTTTGAACTTTTCGCGAATTGTTTACTAGTTTTCCTGCCAAAAAAAATAAATATCAAAATTATATTTATTCACATAGATGCTTGCGCGTTCTTATGAAACGTCAACGTTTTACATAAAAATTGATACGTACGTAAGTAAGCTACCACCGTCTGTTATGTTTCAACTTTATTAAATGGTGGCGTCAATGGGCGGCGGTCAACACTTAACTTCAGGCGAGTCGCTAGCCCGCTTGCCAGCTTCTCACATAAGACAATTGAAACCGGCCAAGTGCGAGTCGGATTCCGTAATATGTAAAAGCGGCAAAAAAATCATGTCTGTTGTATGAGAGCCCCACTTTAATTATTTTTTATATTATGTTGTTATACAGGCAACAGAAATAGATCGTCGGTGAAAAAAAACCAGGTGTCTAACTATCTCCGTTCGTGAGATACCGCCTTTTATATAATTAATTTACGCCGTATTTTGTATAATTAATTTATTTGACTATTAAAGCTTCATCGAACGTAAGATCACCACCGCCTGATACAGACGGACAGACGGACAGACCGACAGACAGCGGAGTCTTAGTGATAGGGTCCCGTTTTACCCTTTGGGCCGTACCCAAAGCCCTAATGAAACAATCGAACGGAGGCCGGTACCTTCGCGATGCGTATCGCCGTGATCCACCGCTCCAACGTGGGCTGGTCGTCCGCACAGAGGAACTTGATGAACTTGACGCTCTTGGGCTGCTGCAGGCGCGGGTGTTTGATGGCGAAGCAGTGCTCGGTCGGCGACTTGTAGCGCTTCCGCCAGTTCAACCCTATGTACACCTCGTTAGAGTCGAAAGTCGCCAGGCAGACCAGCTCCTTGAGCGTCCGCGCCTTGTCCTTCGGCGAGTAGTACAGCCCTGATACGGGGAAGGTCGTACACGTTAGTGGGTCGCACATAGATCCGTCAGTCACATCGTGCCAACGCGTGACAGCGCACATACAAGAGACGCGGAAAATTTTTAATGAAAGCTCACCGAGCGAACGTCGCTTCGCTTAGATTCGTATGTGTGCGTGAACGTGATATGGTTCTTAGTATATTTTTACACGAACACGATGACCGCTCCGTTGTGGACGTTCGCACGCACTTTTCACGCACACACACAAAAACATATAACATTCAAAGTATCAGATACATCGCGATCGCATCGAACAATTCGCCTCGGCGGCGTCAGCGTCACGCCAGCGTCACAGCATCCGGTCACGAAGGACCAACTCACCGGATGGGCGCAGCACGAAGCGGTACTTCTTCCACTCCTTCTTGGTCTCGCTCTTGAGGTACAGCTGGCCCTCCATCTGCGGCACCTGGTGGCCGGATATGGACGCGCTGACGCCGCCGCTCTGCCCGAAGAACTCCTCGAGGATGACCTGCCTCGAGTGCTCATCCTGCTCGCTGGACCAACCTGCGAACGGCGCGAGGGTTCCTCTTAAACAAATACTTAGGACACATTTTTACACAACGCTCTCTACTCCCAAACTAAGCAACGCTTGTACTATGGGTGGTTTATAACTGTTAAACACACTTAAAACATACGTTTCTTTTGTAAATGAACACATATCGTATGACATGTAAACGGTCAGACACTGGAAAAACGCCATGTTCGTCACAGAATACTTTTCTATAAAATTTGTACGAAAATTTATGATATTAGAAAAAATTGCGACGAAAAGTTTTTCCTGTGGGAATCTAACCCACGTCTTTTCAATTCGTTTTAAAATTTAAAATTTTTTGTCCAATGTAAAGAACGTAACAATAAATGCGCCAAGCATCGCTTGAGATGCGGAAAAAAAAAAACAATGTAGTTAAAATACATAGCAATAGAGCCTTTGAGCTTAGTGGTTAAAGCGTCTGCGCGAATCAGGTAGAACGTGGGTTCGATTGCAGCAGCGACGAAAAACTTTTGGTCCATTTTTATATAAATTTTAAAGGCGAAGAAAATACTTAGAAAATTATATTCACGCACCGTCAACAGTTTAGGCGTATGCTCACGTTTCCCAACGGCTACGGCAAACAGTACATACATATTTACTAGACAAATATCAGCAAATACGAAACCAATGCAATAGGATAGCATCAAATTATTCAATAGATTTTGTCTCGTTTAAATTTATCAATAAATTAACGATATTTACTTATGGAAAAAAATAACTAGTAATTTTTCATATTATGTGAAGGGATTATTCCGAGTGATAATCCATAATCTCTGCCTACGCCCGTTGGGAAACTGCTTCAGTGTTTTTTATTAATCATTGTATACATCGTGCTAATATTATATTAGACAAAAAATATGTGTTTGTTCCCATTTTGCATTTGCTGAACTGATAATATTTACGATATTAATAATTAACTAATAATTCATAATTATTAATAATCTATAGAGATTTCCACCGATAATTGACTAATCACGATATCTCCGAAACTATAAGGCGTAGACTTGAAATTTGGTAGGAACATTCCTTTCGCCGTCAGCTAAGAACGTATTTTACGAAATTCCACAACACGTTTGCAGGATCAGATAGTAATATATAAATGTTTAATTATTTCGGTTTAGACCGTAGGCAGAGGGATACATTAATCGATCATTTCACACCTCTATCATCCTCTGTCAGAAGATATTTCTCCGGTGTCTGGAATAAGGATATCTTCTCCGGCCTCTCGGCGAACAGAATCTTGTTTTTGGAGTCTCTTGTCCACAGCATCAGGTTGTCCACTAACATCTCGTGGTCCTCGTACACCCGTTCTAAAATTAAAAAGTGAAAATAAGTTTACATTGTCACGTGGCTTCTCGCGCGATCCTTTTAAAGGTTTCATAAAGAAAAGTTGCCACTTCGATTTTATCGTGTTTAATTTTGTTTTTGCATACCCTAAGTTGTGAAAACTCTCCTCAGTTCGTTGCGCCATACTTCCTAACATTATTCTAGGTATAAAAAATTATTGTATACTGAAGAGCTTTGCTGTACCGTTTTATATTTAAATCTCACGAAACATTGCTATTATTTTACATGGCTAAGTTTTTTGTTCCTTTAAATAGAAAATAATAAATATTTTTCTGAAATTCAAGCACAGATAATTTTGAATTAAATTTACTTTTAGTTCTATTTTTATTCAATACTCTCAATGGCCAGGTCAATAGTCGCCTAACTCGTAAGTAAAAGTACTCTAAAGTAAAAATACGATGCTATTAAAATTATTAAAAATCCTGCTCCTGCGTGTACGTATGATAATGTATTAGGTATAATAATTACACAAGAGCGACTTAACTAGGTCTTTCGGTGGTATTTAGTTTTCAATGGAAATTAATTCGCAAAACATTAAAAATAATTGCAGAAAGCAAATCGATATGCATACAATTACACTACTGGGAGTTTATAAAGTTCATTTCGTTGAAACTAGATGGCGTGGCATACAATGTCATTTCCATAAATAATACTTATACATTGATGTTAATAGCGACATCTCTCGGTAAACAATGGAACTAGTGCGTTGATGGATGAGCTTTGTTAGTTTTTTTTAACACTAATACTAAATGGGAGCGAGTTATTATTTATATTATGATTTAAGACCAAATAAACCAATAGTATGACACTAATATAAATTCAATTGAACTAAGATGACAGTCAATTAAGTCAATACTACAAAGCATTTGCATAATACTTTATTTTGTTCTACTTTATAAATGTAAGTTTTTATTACATATTAGAAACAATATGTAGAATTACGTTAATAGTAGCGGTGGACTGTTTAAAATTTTTAATTTTTTATAGCCCTTTACTTGAAAATATGAATGACGCAATTGTACAATAATATAATATTTACGATATTAATAATTAATTAATAATTATTAATAATCTTTACATATTAGTTAGTATTAATATCATGTTTTTTAACGACTACATAATTTTCTCGTTAATCACTTTCTTTCATTGGAATGAATTTTTCACTTTTTACTTCGGTTTACCATTAAAGCGTGTTTTTTTTAACCTATTCCATCATACGTCCAAATAATTCGAGTCTTTGTTAATATAATACCCACCTATCTGCAATTACCTTTAGAAAAATTCCAAATTATTAGTTATGGTTTTTTTTTAATGTTTTACGTACGGGTCGTTTCTAGAGAGTTAGACCAATTGCTCGGGGAAGTCCCTCTCTATCTTAAGATAGAAGTAGATAAGGCGCGCTGGTCGAAGGTCGCGCGAAGGTCATACCCATGTGGAGATCGGGCAGGTGCTCCACGATGGCCCACTTCGGCTCCATCGCGACGTGATTCTTGTCCGCGAGCAGACGGGCCACGTAGCCGCACGTCATCTTCTCATCCACCAGCAGACTCTTCGAAGACCCGTCGGCGGAGAAGGCCTTGATGAAGAGCTTCTTGACGTTCGCCTCGCGCATTCGCTCCAGTGCAAGCTTGATCTTGTCAGCCTTCTGCCGGAATAGTTTGGTTAGAGTAGAAAGTCAAAACGCTGTCCCATGTTAGCATGTTTATTCTACGACGCGGACCGCCAATATACGGTTAGCCGTATATTGGCGGTCCGCGTCGTAGAATAAACATAACGTGGTATGAGTCGTGTAACTCTATACTAGTAAGTAGAAGGATAAGGGCTCAACCCGGTAGGAAAGAAACGGAAATTTTGACAAGTCTTTCTTGAAAATACACTGGCCCTACTGTTAGTAGGATAACATTATCCCGTGTTGTATGGACGTTTAGACTTTATATAGTTGTCCCGTAGGGGAATCGAACCCACGACCCTTGGCGCCGAAGTCAAAGTATTCCCCGTGTCGGCGGATGATGCGTGATTAAAAGTTCACCCGTTTTTAAGTATGAATAATAGCCAAGCCAAATCTATTGTCTTCACCGACACCGATACTGCCATAGCTAGACCGTGTTCTCTGCAGCCGTTGCAAGATGGTGAGGGAATCGGGGGAGGTTTACCCTTCTGCGAGGCGTGCTCACGCCCAGTACTGAGGAACAACAGTGTGTTCCCGGACTCCCTCCAAAAGTACAGAAGGGGGTCATAGTGGGTACGAACGGGTTCCAATAACACCAAAAAAAGGCTAGATTGTATTCTGCTTATAAAGTGCTTGAATAGTTCGCCTCTAGACTGTATAGTGTCTAGCATGTGTCTAGATTGTGGGACATAAGTTTAACGACCAATACTTTCGCGTTTCGTCTGCTGAGTGAGGTGGCCGGAGCGCAATTTTCGAAAGGTTGTCAACGCATCTGTAACCCTCGGGTGTGGTAGATGTCCATGGGCGGCGGTATTCACTTAACATCAGGCGGACCTGCTCGCTTGGCGACGAGCTTGGCGATCGCACTTGTTACCTTTTGGTTCTGATGGATGTTCATCTTCAGGGCCTTGCATTTGGCGCTAGCGCTGCTCGAAGCGGAGGATTCGCTGGAGAGCATCGACACCTGCGAACATACGAAGCAGCTTTCTGTCTTATCGTCTTGTTTCCTACGCGAAAACCTGGAGAAATACGATGGTGTTCGGCATTCGGATAAATGATATTCAGATATCAGATATACTCCAGTATAGTGATCAACATGACATGTTCGAATTTAAGTTCATTTCGTCTTTTCAACCGATTTCAAAAAAAGAGGCGGTTCTCAATTCGACTGTATTTTTTTATGTTTGTCACCTCAGTACTTTCGATTGAGCGATTGATCCTTTTTGTTTGGGAGCTGGTGCTTCCCATGAGGTCCCATATTAATTCCGTTGGAATTGGATCTTGTTTTCCGGAGACAATTAGGGAACTCTTGAAAATCAATTATGAAATGAATACAGAGCGAGATATTTCAAGACGGTTTTGTTTTTCGTTAATAAAACTATGGATTTGTTAACCCCACGGGTCGAAAGAGTTTATAGCGTTCTGATGGCGAGTTCTGTGTTGTGGACGCAGTGATTATGAGTTGTATTTTGACTTCAACTGCTGCTTGATATATTCTCTACCGTCACCGCAAAGATCATAACTACCCACTTCTCAAACCGCCATTAAACCTTCTCGCTTCCAATTACTCGAAGACATTAAACAATTGACAATAAGCGTTTTGAGTATCCCTCGTTGAAACTTTATAGAGAGAGTCGAGTTTTTATTTGCAACTTGAAAATAATGGGTGTTACGCAGATCCAAAATTAACAATTTAAAACCAAGATTCAATTAGTTGTTCATTTCGAACCAACTGCTTATTATAATCGCATCGACTATTGGGCGGCTGAATACAATGACTACCCAAATGTTTTTGCGACAACTAATGAGCGAGAACAAAAATTCTAAGGTCTATTTCCATCTCTTCTGTTTACCTTTTTTTGTGGTAAATTAATCAACTTTATTTCCACTATTCTGCACAGGTGAAGCCTTTCGCGTTTGCGCAACATTGATTATGTTCACTATCGGCAAATTGTCTGTATCAATTCGCAATCGCAATTATTTATTTGCGATCCGATCTCATGTCACAAGTCATGTCACAAGTCTTGTAATCGCGGTGTTGTAATTGCAAATGCATGAACGGGCCGAAGTAACTGCACAAACTGGCAGTGGAAACTTTGCGCAGTCGTTTTCGTGCTCTTGAAATTAACCTTTCGGTTTATTAACACCGACACAGTTACGCACGGATCGATGTAGTGGATTCCATCACTACAATTCTGCGCAGATCCCCAAAAAAGTCGATAACGGTAATACGCTAATTTGTATAATTACTAAGTACTCGCTGTTCTGCCCAATCGGGAAGGGGAGACCAGGTGTGTAAAATGTATTTTTAATAAAGTTTTTTTTGGCTTGTATCGGGTAAATGATGGAAATAACCCCAAGAATCGATGTATCCAAAGTTGAAGCATTTCTTGTTTAATTTTTACAATTGTTTTTTTTTTTGGCTAAATCCAATATCTAATGTGTGTCAAGCACCGCTCTTTTGCTAAACACCTGCACCACAAACTAAGCATTTCGATTGTTTAGAATTTATTTTCTTCAATAGAACACACAACAAATAAAATATAATTTAAAAAACGTACACGTTTCTGTGTAATTTTTTATTTTGATATACCTACCCAGTGTCACTCTCATAGTGAATACGAGTCTAACAACATCTCTCACGCTAAAATCCATAAAACCGTTCAGGCCACAGAGCGTGCCAAACAATTACACATACATACATAGTATCGAAAAACGTAAACCTCCTTCTGGCGCAGTCGGATGAAAATATCACCCCAGAATCATGCACGGGAGAACAAAATACTGCGCAGTGATTCGAATTTATGTTCTTCAATAGAGCACGTAAAAGCATCATCAGGGGGTTCAGTAAGCTGGGGGGATCCCACCGTTTGTAAGGTGATAATTACGGAATGCAGCTCACGGTGTTCCTCCGTTTGTACTGTAATAATTACGGAATGTAGCTAACGGTGACCCTCCGTTTGTAAGGTGACAACCACGGAATGTAGCTTACGGTGTTCCTCCGTTTGTACAGTGATAATTACGGAATGCAGCTTACGGTGTCGCTGTAGGCGGAATCGTTGTCCGGGGATTCGGTGCGGGCCATGGCGGGGGCGGTGTCGGCGCACTCCTTGCCGCCCTCCGCGCCCCTCTGCCCGCCCTCGCCCGCCGCCCGCCCCTTGCCAGTTGCGGGGTACTCTGCGCCAACGGGTTGTGTGAAAGCGTGCGAGCCGACTGCGCCCCTGAATGGGCCCTCGACGCGCGGAATAGTAATAACCTGATTAACGTCTAAACGCACCGAGCAGCCATGTAGATACAGTGTGTTATATTTCACGGAGAAATGTACACAACGACATTTACGAGTACCACGTGCATGCGGCGTTTAGTTTGATTTTATCGGTGGGAATGATAGCGTTCTCGACCTCGTAGACAATCTCGTTGCGACTTTTAATTATATTTGACTAGCTGACTCGGCAAACGTTTTTTTGACATATATATTATATCTAGGGAATTTCTCAACACATAGAAATCAATAATCAACAATCTGAACACATACAAAGAGAATTTTCGAAACGCACGCATAAAGTGTTTGACAGTTTACACAGACATAGTTGACAGGTACAGTTTGTATGGGAAAATAAAATTGTTGCTATTTCGACTTTCCATGCAGTTTTTCCATAATTTCTCATCGTTTAAACCTTCCCTGGACTGCCACAAATATTTCAAAACCAAAATTAGCCAAATCGGTCCAACCGTTCTCGAGTTTTAGCGAGAATAACGAACAGCAATCCATTTTTATATATAAGATAACTTAATTATGTTAGTTAAGTTTGTGCAACAGATCCCGTCAATTAAACCAAACGAATAAGAAATTTAATAAGTACCGATGTTTCTGTAAGCGATTCGTTGAGAATGGGATGGTATTATTTCACATCGTAGGGGCCATGTTGTATTGCGCTCATATTTAACGATCACTGTATACCAAGTTGGGGTTTAAAACGTGATTGTTTTAAAACACATATGGAGCTCAACCTATCTGATCCGAGGCAACTATTTGTACGATCCACGGATAGTTGTTTCTGATCTAGGTGTATGTCCACGAGCAATTTTTTATATATAAAAAGTCCTTACAATACAGTATAATGTTATCTGAAGTAGGGCAATGTTTTCGAAAGGAAGGCTACAGTAGATCTTCTGGCTCGCAGTTTTCGTTGGGACTCACTATCCGACCGCTTACACAAAATAAAACATAAAACCTATCGCTTCTGATAAACAATTTTCGCACACACCGTGCGTTCTCGGCACCTTCTAATTTCAGTTCGCGAACGAGTTCTTAACGACGCCATACCTCAACCCTTATCAGCGGTTCTGAGTGACTCAGCCCTTCTTACACGCCTCCTACGCAGTGCAATCCAATACGACACTTATTGCATACGGTATAAAGATCGTTTCGCGAAAGAGCATGTTTTAACTATTTAGGGAAGCAGCACAAATTCATCAAAGTCATTTTACTTGAGGGGGTAAAAGGCCTAGGTTAGTGTAATAGTGTATAGAATTATTACATTCATATTATATTGAGTGTTACGTGATAAGAGGTCGACTACTACTCTTATGACACTGAAAGCTAGAATATTGAACGATTCAAACCTGTCTTTGCCCTGCATCCGATGATACTTTCAATAAAGTAGCTAATTCAAAAGCCAGTGACGTGTACAACTGCATGTATTGCCGGGTCAAAGAGGACAGTAAGGCCTTAATCAAAATACAATGTGTTTTGGAGTAAACAATAATAACGGATGCATCAGCTTATGGTAAGACGCCCTAAGATCTGCAACAATCAGCCGTTGTTGGGCATTGTTGTAAACGGTGTCAATGCCTCCGTTGGTTCCTGTTTCCTGGGTCTGTGCGACGTGGTTTCCACCGCAGAAACCTCGATTTAACTCTAATTCTTTGGCAAGGACGAGGTACAGGTGTAACAGTACGGACACTAGACCTTGTCCTTGGAACAGACAAGCTTAGTGTAATTTCAAGTGATCTACAAATGTGAAATTCGCCCAATGGTAATCGTTTATCACTGACCGAGAATCGAAAGTAGTGGTTGTAGGTGCGAAATAATATAATTTACATATTTAAATAACAAGAAATCATTATCAGCGTTACGTCCAAATTGTCCGTAAAAGCGTTACCGTTCGGAAATACCGCCAGCGAGGATTCTGAGAAGTGTCGCAACCGAACTTATTGGTTCTCGAAAAAGATTAGCACTTTCGATGAACACATTTATGCAGCCTCGGCTTTTGCACGAATGGGCAGGCTCGTACGGGTAAGTACCACGACCTCACAGAAGACCGGCGTAAAGTGGAAGTATAACAAATACTTTCGCGTCTCGTCTGGTGAGTGAGGTAGCCGGTGTCCGATTTACAAAAGCTTGTCAACGCATCTGCAACCCGAGGGTGTAGCAGATGTCCATGGGCGGCGGTATTCACTTAACATCACGGAACAAAAAGATATGTAAAAAAATAAATATATGTCATATAGATAGAGGGATAACTAACATGCGTCTATATGATATACATATGGAAAGTGTCAAAACTTAGAATTTTGGACACCTGAACCTACATATTCCATTTCTCCCGGAAATTGTCGGCGTCCGTGGGGCCACGGAACAGTCTTCGCTGTTGTACGAAGGGCCACTTCCATCAGGGGAAGTCCGTCCGTCCGTCCACGAGCTCACAGAGGAACGGCGCGAAGGGCAAGTGTTGTACTTCTGCGTTTCGTCCGGTGAGTGAGGTAACCGAAGCCCAATTCGTAAGGGTAACGCATCCGCAATCCTACGGGCGTCACAAATATCAACAGACGGTCGTCACTTAACATCAGGTGAACAGCCAGCGCGCATGTCACCTTGTCACATAAAAACAAAAGTTTGCTTCGCTTACGAGGGCGCAAACGAGTCGTCAGTCCGCCGAGACGGTTATGCAAAACGGGCCCTATACAGTTCACCGTGCCCCTGCGATAAGGGTGACCTTTGTTTTAATGTTAACACCTGGGGATATTCAGCCGAGCTCGAGCGGCCCCCGCACCCACCGAACGTTTACAAAATACATACATGTCCGACAACATGCTCTAGAATTAGTTGGCCATTGTAGAATTGGTTGCCACGCCGGACTTTTGAGATACAGTGAAAGTGTATCATCTTCTATTTGCTATAACTACTACAATAGGTGGCTATTATTGACGCTATCCGTTCCGAAACGGAATTTAAAGCCTCGAAGTTTTCTTGGAAAAAAAATTGAGTTTAGAAAATTGCTCCTTCGAACCGAATGTAATAACGACGTTGAGAAATATGTAGTCTTAATAGCATCTTAAGAACTGAGCATCTGAGATGAAACTGCTCTAAGAAATGACACTCCAAACGATAACCTGTCTTTTATCACAAGGATACTGATTAGAACTACTTCCGCACGCGCTGCTGCCCGCGACTACGTCTGCGTAGAATAGGCTGAAGACGTAACATGCAGACAGAAAGACAGATATACATAAAATATGTATATAAATTATAGCCTATGTCCTATTCTGATGTATAAGCTATATTATTGTAAAGTTTCATTAAAATCCATTCAGTAGTATTTGCTTGAAAGAGTAACAAACATCCATCCATACCTACAAACTTTCGCCTTTATAATATGAGTAAGGATGCCAGTCCATCTAATTGGTAATAAATCTTATAGATCTCGTAGCTTATTAAGAAAATGCCTCTACATCATATAATCTTGGTAACCCCTCGGCGGGTGTAAGGATCAGTATACACGTGTCACGAACTAAAGATTCGTCACAACCCATTTCACTTCCCTTATTCAACTAGACTCCTCATTTACGGTCTTCATACAGTCAACAACGATCACATTTCACTTGAGAGGCTAATCTAGAACATCTCGATACGGTAGTTCAATTAAGTTTACAAATAACTCATTCAATCCGTGTAAATACCATAGTTACATTATTATATTACGTTAACTGTCAGATGTTAGTGTTACGTCAACTTCTGATATGAGGGGTCGTCTATTATCCGTACAGCACTGAAAGCGAAAATATCATTGAGCGAATCCGAAGCGAAGCGAAGAATCTTTGCCGTATACTAGACACTTTCAGGTCGATATCTAACGTGCACTACTGTATTAAATGCCGAGTCTCAGGGGTTTCACGGGGGTAGGGCCACGCAGCAGCCTCGGCTGTTGCACGAATGGGCGGGCTCGTACGGGTAAGTACCACGATCTCACAGAAGACCGGCGTAAAGTGGAAGTATTACAAATACTTTCGCGTTTCGTCTGGTGAGTGAGGTAGCCGGAGCCCAATTTCCAAAAAGATTGTCAACGCATCTGCAAACTATCGGGTGCAGCGGATGTCTATGGGCGGCGGTATTCCCTTAACGTCACGTGAACCGTCTGCTCGTTTGGCAACTTTTCACATTAAAAAAAAATATCTAACGTGCACTACTGTATCAAATGCCGACTCACAGGGGAAAACCCGACGTGAGTGCAATTGAGAACATAAGGATTATATGTCGACTGCTATAATGCGTCTTACCGGTGGAGACCCTGGAGAGTTCTTCGTCGTATTCAGAGTCCAGGGCGCACAGCTCACCCAGGATCGCGTCCAGGTCCGCGTCCTGTGTCTCCTCGAGGTTCGCCATGGAGAAACGGTAGGAGTCGATCCGCGGCGCCACGATCTCCAGCGGCCTAAGCGTGGACGAAGCCTCGCCTGACGTGTTCAGACCCTGGAAATGGAAGCAACAGCATGAAGTCAAGCGATACTCGGTGACAGTGGTTTATCGCATACTAGCGACCCGCCCCGGCTTCGCAGGGGTGCAATGTAGATATTGTATTTTTCGGCTTTTCTCTACTCTAAAATGCATGTAGACTACATATGAACCTTCCCGTTGAAATCTCTTTCTATTGCTGAAAACCGCGTTTAAATCCGTTGCGTAAATGACCTAAGCGTATATAATACATCGGGAGCGAATTTCTTTTATACTATGTTTATACGAGATACAATAGCGTTCGAAAATTGATTGTCATGTCTGTTAATAGGTGAAGTTTTAAAATCAAAATGTTTTTCTAACAGTTGTATCATATAATTCAAAAGCGCCACTGTTATACTTCCACCTCCATACACTGTGACCGCTAAAAAGCGATAGCCCAGGTCAGAGACCATCTTAGGTCATCTTAAACCAGTTGATACTGGTGGTGTAGAGTCGCGTCCTTACAATTTCCTCATAAATTACCTACATTTCGGTTCGTCTTTCTCTAACTACAATGATCATACGACAAATACGTTTCAAGGTGTAGTGTAAGTTTGTACGAATCGCAACGATATAAAATTCAAATGGACATGTGTCCACATGACCAAATTAAACTTGCATGTCCACTAACGTCCATAGTTTGGCTGAAGTTAAATTATAGGCAATAACTGATTAAGAGATGGCACTGCAGGGCGTAAAAGATATAGGTAAGTTCCTAGTGAAATTTTAAGTCTGAAGGAGTATATTTTTCCTTCTTGACTCTCCGTTTCTCAAGCATTCTCTGTAGAACAAGCCACTCGATTGTTTAAGATATCAGGTGTCACGTGATTATTTTCCATGTGAGCGAATATTACTGTCACTTAGAATAATATTTATTCTGGATTATAGGTATCTTTTAAACAGGCGTCTTTATAGTGTTGAATTAATGAATGGAGAACATTTTCGACGCGCATACGAAAACTTATCATCGGCCGTAGAATTGACATTAACTGTATTAACGAATGGGCAGCTTCTTCAGGGTAAGTACCACGACCTCACGGAAGACCAACTTTATGTGGAAGTTTTATACTTCTGCGTTTCGTCTGGCGAGTGAGGTAGCCGTGACCCACTTTATCACTTAGCATCAGGTGAACCGCCAGTTCGTTCGCCGCCTTCTCGCATAAAAAAAAATGGCATCGAACATTACCGATTGGCGTAAGACCAGTAAGGGTACTCAGAGAATAACATAGTCATCGGCCAACAGGTTTCGCAAGTAGCGGCGCTGAGACACCACAGGGACCCTGACCTAACAAGACCACGCTACGTTCGAGAAAGGGCGAATTTATTTCACGTAAACTGTTACCCGCGAAAAACACTGTTTACCATCGGCGCCTACCAACTTTTACATGGCGTGAAAACTTTCTTATCAATCACTGTGTGTTTTTATGTTTATTTATACAATAGTGTGGTGAATATCTTTGTGATTTTGCAGAACAATGCGCCGGCAAAGCTCGATCCGAACTTGTGTGGCGTATTGTTTATGTCGCAACGATATTGTTTTAAAACATGTGCACGGAACAATAGTCGGTTCGATTTTATGTATACGATGTTATATTTTAAGCGTCTTTATCAAACGTGCCGGTGGCTTATTTATAATAATGGGGTTGCACGTTCAGTGTCTTAACATTCATGTCTTTCTTCCTGTAGAGTTGAGAGACGAAATCCTCGAAATCGAAACTATGAAATATGTAAATACAACAACAATCACATTTAGTTTAATACGAATAGTGTGTCATATAACAGCACTTTAAGAGAACAAGAAAATAACCAAAATAGTAATATACAAGATAAAAAGCGATAAAACTTTCTACTATTCTATTATAGGTACTTTAATGAATTCGAAATATAAACAAGTTGATAACGCGCTCGATTTGTGCGTCCAATTCAATTGACAGGAGGCCATTTGTATCTTATCTTGCCGACGTTATAAATAATATATAAATAGTTATAAATGACGTGCTCAGTGCTCGGTGGGGCCATTGACCAGCGCTGACGCCCTACTATAAACCATGTAAGTACCATACCTGATTTGAGACCGTAAAACACGGGTAATGTTATTCAAGTAAATGTTATTAAATAACCACACGTAAACAATGAAACGCTTAGCAACGCCCTAATCACTAGGGCTGGTTGTGACGCGATTATACTAGTAAAATGTCTCTTTTTGGACTCGACTGGGGGTCTAAATCGAAACGCCCACGATTTGCAAATGTTCGAACATTTAGCAGTACCCCAATTGAGAGTATTACGTCACACTGGATTCACATAGCGTCGCTTGGGCTGGGTATAATATTAATTCCGCGCCATAAAAAGCCGCGTGTCAAGCGTGCACGGCGCTTCACGCAGCCGCTTTATGTTTAAAAATTAATTACACATCCACTTAAGGACGACGTCCCGTAGCGCTAGCGGGAATGCATTGTTCCAGCGACTGGTCCGCCCGGTCGCGGCTCATTTTGTATTCGCTCGGTGCTCCGACGCCCCGTTTATGGCCACCGAATGTGAGTGCGCCGTTCGTGGGTTTCGCCGTGTGGGTCCGTTTTCGTACCGCGAGCGTACGGAGCGCGTCGCGATTGTTTATTTATCCGCGCGAACGGAATGCAACGCGAGATGTCGACGCCTCCCAACCGTCACTCACCGTGGCCGTCATGGTGGGCGCGTGGCCGCCGTGTGGCCGCGACCTGCCGCCACCCAGGCGGAAGCTTCTGTTCAGCGTCGACAGGAACCCGGCGCGGTGCCACTTGCTCGGCTCTAGTCGCACTTCCATCGCTCCGTTTACATCGCACTGGCCCTCGACCGCGTCTTCGCTCCCCCAACAAAGCTCGCGCCCATTCGTCGCGAGACCAAACTTGCCGCGCGCTTCGTGTAGTCCGCGCGACCCGCGCCGCCTACCGTACGCGCCGTACTTCGGCCTCGCCCATTCACTACGCTACGCTGACGGCGCCTCTCCCTCGACTCGCTCACTTTCGTTTTCACAATCGATTCGCGGCCGTCACGAGAGCGCTGGATAGTAAGAGGGGCAGAACGCGCGCGCGTGCAACACTGCCGGCGTCTCGGCAACAACTGAGCGTCGAACTGTGAACGGTGAACACTGAACTCGTAGAGTTGCATTACGAAATGAGCGGCGCGGGCGAGCGGGCGCTGCGGGCGGCGTGGGGCGAGGGGGGCGTAGGGCCTCGCGGGGCGAGCGGCGCGGGCGGAGGGGGCAGGGTGCCGCGAAGCAGCCTGCTGCCCGCGCGGCCGGTGCGTGCGTGCCGCAGCGGAGCGCCGCGGACGCTAAGCTCTCGTGCACGTGTTTCCGAAATAGCGCTAACAATTAACTGCCGCAGATGGCGGGGCCCCGGATGATTGTGTAAATTTTTTCTCCATCTCCTTCCCGTCCCGGCTCAGTCGCCTCGATCCCCGAATCGTAAGTGGCAAGGTGCACCACGACGACGGCCCGCGTTTTTTTCGGCTAGCGCTCAACTCAATAGCGAGAATAACACCGATTCCATGTAGCGTAGGGTTTCGTTTTTCTTTTCTTTTTTTTAACTAAATAGCATTTTTGATATCTAAATGGAACAGTGATGTCTGATTTCTTTATCGCCAGTTGTTTATTCGGCTTTAATGTCTATTGTAAAGCTTCAATGTTTCTTCGACGCTTGAGATCTTTTACAATAGCAGTCGGCCGGCGGCGGATTTGGGGGCTCATTATCTGTCTCTTGTGCGGCAACACGTGTCCGCCGTATTTAAGGGCCTTCCGCCCAGTTTCCGAGGAATTTCCCGCGGCGGCGCACCATTGTACATGGTGCTTAACAACTGGCGCTTTATTAGTCAACGGCTGTGCGCGTCTAAATTTAGCCGCGGCGGGCAACTCGGCGTCACACTATTCCCGCTCCGTAAATACGGCCGGGATCGCGCCGCGAAATAATAATAAGCTGACCGCGGCGGGCCGAGCGGATTTGGACCCTATGGGGCGCGTTTGCAAAGCGGGCGCGCCCCCGTCCGCGCACTGCGGCACCCGTCGACACGGGCACGGACGCTACGCAGCGCCAACTGTTACTAACACACGATCTCCACGCCGCCAGGGAAAGGATCCGTCGGCACAAGATCCGCTCGTTTGCAGCAAGCCCCCTACTGCAGTTTACAGCAACGACTACACTGTTATTTCAGTTCTTTTGCCACGCCCGATCGCTTTGTGGAAACAATAGTCGCCGGCGACAGCCTGAGCTACACGATATATACACTTCTCTCACCTTAGGATAACATTATCCTGCATTGTAAGGACGTTTCACAAGCATAAATTTCACGCGGACAAACACTCAGATTTGGAACAATTATCTGTGGGTCACACAAATAGTTGTCCCGTGTGGGAATCGAACCCACGGCCCCCGACGCCGTAGCCAAAGCCTTGGCAACTGCGCCACGGAGTCCGCAAAACTCCTCCTCATACTTGAAACGCTGGTCCATGGGTTACGGTGGGTAAAAAGACTTCTCGCTGAGCTGAATCGCTTAATCAGCCCGCACCATATCCGCGTGTATTTGGCATTAAACGCAGTGAGTTAACAAGCACTTAATAATTATTCAGTATCACGTAATTGCTTATGTTCATTTCGTTTGCATTTCCCCAGGTGGCGGATGATCCGAAATCTTCTAATATATAAAATTCTCGTGTCACAGTGTTTGTAATTGAACTTCTCCGATACTGCTCGACCGATTTTCGTCAAATTTTGTGTGCATATCGGCCAGGATGGAGAATCGGACAATATCTATTTTTCATCCCCCTTAATGTTAAGGGTGGTGTCCACCCCTATTCTATTTTTATTTATATGTAAGTATTTTTGTTTTTATTTTTTTATGATACAGCACACAAAATACATACAACCCTAAATTTCTACCCCTCTACGCAGACGTAGTCGCGGGCCGCAGCTAGTCTTCTGTATACGCTGTTCAGTCGTGAGGCAGTAGTAATCCGGGAGGAATCTGTCTCGATGGTACCTTCTAGGGGATTGTAACGGAAATAAGTTACCTGGCAATTTGCCAATACCAAGTTACGAACGCACGCGGGCCGGAATTTGGTTTCTTTTTTGATGTTTTAACAACAAAACAATTTGACTTTGAATCTGTTATCGGAGCAACCATGAACGATAATCTTGAAAATTTTACGTATTGTATTCCCCCAATTCGGTTAAAAAATGCAATTTTAAAACTATAACGTAGATTTTAATGTTTACTGTTACTTTTTCCTTTGATGTGTTTTTAAATCGTCGCTCATTTTTTCTATTGTTTTACTTTTTGTCATTTACTTATTTTTTTACTTAGTTTTTTTTTTCTTTGTTTTATTTAGATATTATATAACTGTGACCTCAAAATTAGAGAATTATTGTACATATTAGTATTTATGACAACAATTTAAAATTATGACACTTATAAATTAATAGATATCAATATTAAATGATAGTGTAATGTAAAAATAATAATTTTAGTTTAATTCTCTTAATATTTAAATTGTATTATATTATTTCGTGATTTTAAATGAAGACATATTAACATTTAATAACATTTATCAAATTAAGATTAATGTATTAATGTTCACTGTTTTATCTTATTGGAATTAGTATTTGTTAAAAAATTGCCTATTACAAGTATTCCATTATTGTGACTAATAATAATGTTATAAACTATTGTACTTTTCATATAGCTAAACTGTGTTGTACTTTTAGTGTTCTTTTACATGCAATTTATTTTATTTTCTTTGCTACTGTAATAAATGAAAGTCAACTAAAGTTACGTATTGCAAAAGCGTTATAATATATTAATAACTCAAGGCAAACAATTTTTCTTGTAAATAACTAAAAATTCTTAACGGAAACTGTGTGTTTAAGACTACTAAGATACTTATGTTATACTGCTTAACTACATATAAGATGGAACAAACAACTTGTTTTAAATGTAATATTATTATTGACGAGAGACAATTCATGATTTGTTCTGCTTGCAAGAACAACTTTCATCTCAATTGTACAAACGTCTCATTTAAAAGATTTGTTTTAATGACACCTCAAAAGAAAAAGACATGGAGGTGTAAAGACTGCTATGAGTCTAATTTGATAATACCTCAACACTCAAATGATTCACAAGAAATTAATACCCCCCCCACACATAATATAACATTAAGAAATAAATATAAAATCAATGTACCAACGGAAAATTCATTCGATTCCTTGTCATCAGATGATGACAAATTTAATAATTCCTCGTGTATTGAAACGAGTGGTTTAAATAGAAGTTGTCCAGACCTCAGAATGAACTATTTCGAACAAATAGAAGCAATTCAGATAAAAAATAAAAACCTGGAAGAAAAATTAGAAATAGCTGAACATGAGATTGAAACCATTTTGTCGGAAAATTTTGCCTTAAAAAAAAAGATCTCTGAATACCAATTAAAAATTTAACAACTTACTAGTATATTTAAACAGAGTTCTGCATCAAAAAACTCAATACACAAAAAATCCTCAATCAAAGACATTAATCGAAATCTGACAAAAACACGATTAGATTTTTCTATACTAGAGAAGAAAGATACTTGTTCAATGACACAATAAAAATTAAAGACAACGACGATAAAGGAGAAGACGTAGGGCAAACTGAAAAATAGAACAGTAACTCAAAAAATGTTATTCCACCAAAAAGTGTCATTCCACCAGTCGATCCTATTACTAAGTCCACACAAACAACCGTCACTCCAAGATGCTCAAAACAGAAACCAGTGATCCATATAATAGGTGATGAGCAGCTTTTAGGTTTGCCTGCAGCGCTGATCAAATCCAGATATGGAAAGTGGAACGATAAATATATACCTAAGGCATTTATAATGAATAATGCAACGAGTACGGTAATTTTAAACCATTTGAGATATTCTAACACTGTAAACTGTATATCAGATGACGATATTGTGATACTAGGTATTGGGGGTAATGATAACAACCCTATTAAATTTCAGGAGAATTTTTATTTGATTCTTGATGTTTTTAAAAGAGCAAAAATTTATATTGTTCCCGTTAATTATAATCCTCATATAAACGTATACAAATTGAATAATAATATAAAACTTTGGGTAAACTATAAAAATAATTGCACATTCATGGCAATTAATCACTATAGTCTAGGTAAGAGATCTTATTTGCATCAGATTTGCCAAAAAATTAATTTTAGTATTGACACAATGGACTATCATCTAGAATTTCTAACATTTGAAAATATATCCAAACACCTGAAGCGCCTAAATGCTAGGAAAACCTTGTTAGATACATCTCAAATTAAAGAAGCAAAGAAGGGAACAATACCATACTACTTCAAAAAAATTGACGTTGATAATCCACTAAAAGAAACAATGGATAACGATAAAATAAAGCCAGACTTGTTAAATACCAATTTAGTTATTAAAAAAGGCACTATTCCCTGTTATTTTAGTAGCAATCTTAATTTGAAGCCACAAAATTTAACAGTTCGAAATCAAGAACAAAATAATCTTTTTCGTGCCTCACATAAATAATAACTTTGTAATATTGCACCAGAATATTCAAGGACTACGCTCTAAGAAAGAAATAATTGAAATAACTCTTTCGGATCTTAAAACAAAACTTAATCCAGATGTCTTATGCTTTACGGAAACTTTCGTAAAATCGGGTGAAGAAAGAAATTTAGTAATTAAAGATTATGAAATCGCATCATATTACTCCCGGAACAAAGGAAGAGGCGGATCGTGCATAATGGTGAAAAAAGGTCTTGCCTAATAAATAATAAAAATATAAACTGTTTTAAGACCATAGAAGCACCCTTCCTTTTTGAATGTTGTTCCGTACTAATACCCTCCCTCTAATGTTATTATCATTTGCGCTTATAGAAATCCGACTAGACTGAAACATCATATAGATTCATTTTTCCACAAACTTGAAAGCCTATTACATACCTGCAATCAAAATATTCTAAAAAGAAAATAGTTTTTGCGGGTAATATAAATATTAATACTCTAGAAACAAATAGTATAACTGATCGGCTTAAAGATATAACTAAGATATATAATATGACGCTGCATATAACGGACCCTACGAGGGAAAATTCATGTATAGATCACATAATAAGCAACGTTGAAGATGCAAAGGCTTATGTTATTCCACTATTTCTATCAGACCATCATACAGCTCAAATAATTGATTTCAAAGTACAATCTAAAAGAATAGTAACGGCATCTTATTTCATTTTAAAACGTTGCTATTCTAGGGAAAATGTACTAAAATTCCAAAAGTATCTGTCTAGTATTTTATTTTCTGAGGTATATTCTGAATCGGACAAAAAAAGTTCTTCGTTACAAATATTATACTAAGAAAACAAATATTAATAAATTAATATATAAAAATTATTGAAACATGTTAAGAAAATGTATTAATATTTCAAAGAAATGCTGTAATATCCAATACATACAAAATAGTGACAATATTATGAAAGCAACGTGGCGAATAATAAAAAATGAACTAAACAACAAGACAATATGTCGATATATAGATAGTATTGAACATAATAACATGGTAATAACAGATGCGACAGAAATTGCAAATACTTTCAATGACTATTTTATTAAACAGACAAATAAAGAAAACAAGGAAATTACGACAGCAATATCACGGAATAGGCTACGTAACTCGATCTTCTTAACCCCAATTGACGAAAACTATATTAAAAAAACGATAAGCACAAAGATAGTAAAAGCATGCAAAAATCAAATAAGCAAGGTACTAGCTTTTCTAGTTAATTTATCGATGGAGACAGGAACTTTTCCGGAAAAATTAAAAATCTCGGTCGTAAAGCCTTTGTATAAGAAAGGTGAGAAGACATCGATTGACAACTATCGTACAGTGACTCTCATTCCTGTTTTTTCAAAAATATTTGAAAAGGTCATGCATGCAAAATTAACAGACTTTCTCAATACATATAATGTAATAGACAAAAATCAATATGGCTTCCAAAAGGCTAAGTCAACAACGACTGCCAATTTTAATCTTATAAAGGAGATTTCACTCAAAATAAACCAGAAACTGTTTACGACCGGTGTATTTTTTGACATGTCAAAGGCATTCGATTTCGTTTCGCATAAGCTACTTCAGTCAAAATTGAATCATAATGGTATAAGAGGCCCAGCACACAGTTGGCTGGAATCATATCTAAAAAACAGGAAACAATGTGTTGAAGTGCTTAACCTCAATGAAACAAATATGGTACAAAAACATAAATCGAAATTTAAAATAAATAGATTTGGTGTTCCCCAGGGCAGCGTCCTTGGCCCACTGTTATTTCTACTTTACGTCAATGACTTACCAGGAATAACGAAGTACAGAAGTATATTATTTGCAGATGACATATCGATAATAATTTCAACACATAAATACCTGACATTATCTAGACATATAAGTGACATTAATTCTACCATTAAATCGGTAAGTCAATGGTTAGGTGATAATAATTTAATAATTAATTTAAATAAGACACAATATATCAATTTTAACAAAATTTCATTTGACATTAATTATGACGGACAAACTTTATGTAGGGCTAACCATGTGACATTTTTGGTTATCATAATTGACGAAGCATTGAAATGGAGAGAACAAGTAAGGATAGTGTGTAACAAAATCAATAAATTTACTTATGCCCTATATAAACTAAGCAAAGTAGCAACAAGGCAAACTGCAATTACAGCATACTTTTCATATGTGGAATCAGTACTCCGATATGGCTTAGTGCTTTGGGGTAATAGTACTGAGGTTAATAAAGTGTTTATAGTGCAAAAAAAATGCATTCGAGCTATTTGCTGCGTTCCGCCACAGACATCATGTAAAGCCCTATTTCAATCACTAGGAATTCTCCCCCTCCCATGTTTATTTAATATGGAAATGGCTAAATTTATTAAACAACACCAGGAGAGTATTTATGACAAAAATGACACGGCGCCTAGAGCAAAAAGATGCCCAAATAAAATTTTTATTGATATAATACCGAAAACTATAGGGTTTCAAAGGAATTGCTACTGGATGGGCAAAACAATCTTTAACAACCTACCTCAGACCATAAAAGATGAACCGTCTAATAAGTTTAAAAAGTGCCTAAGGGAGTGGCTTCTAAAACACACATTTTACTCGGTTAAGGAATTTCTAGATCATAAATAAAATCAATATTGACATGTTAAAGTACATATTATAAAATCTTGTATATATTTCATCCATATAAATTGTATTGTTTTTTTATATCAAATATAACACTGGTTATTAAATACAAAGTAACGCATATTTGCATGCCATATATTATGGCTGAACTTGGAGGTCAATAATTTTGTAAATCAACTTCTTAATCACCCAGTTTAATGGCAAATAAAGATTATAAAAAAAAAAAAAAAAAAAAAAACAGAATAATGTAGAGTGAGAGCACACGTCAGGACGGGTGATTCCCGCTACAGCCATCCCTTTCTCGCGTTGAGCTTAAAACACGTCAAATCTGTACGCAAACAAAGTACAGTCACGTTGACTTGTTACTGGGTTTCCGCAAGATACTCAGATGAACTTGTTGCTAGTAACGCGATAGTTGTAGTCTCGCGCGAAATTAATAAATCCGCTACCTGAATAACATTTGTTTGTGTTATTCATCACTGGGAGCGAATGAATTTCCACCCTCGGGTGTGGCAGGTGTCCATGGGCTGCGGTATTCACTTAACATCAGGTGAACCGTCTGCTCGTTTGGCAACATTTCATATACAAAAAAAGCTTCCATCAAAATAAGACCTCAAAAATCGTATATGTGACCTCCAAGAAGCGGAAAATCCCAACGCCAAATCCTTAAAGCGGGATATATATTGTCGCTTGCGTTTGTCATCGCTCGGTGTTTATTTCCATCGGCGGTCCATGATCCTTTAGTGAATGTGTTTTGGGAACACCAATGGCAGCAAATTGCCACCGACAATTAATCCGTGATGCCAGACACGAAGCGGATGTCCGCTGGGAGCTCGGCCTCGCGCATAAATAAAGGACCCATCCAAATTTTTGAGGTTGACAAAACTTTTGGGAATATCGTCCAATGATGGAACTTTTCTCGACGCACTAGTTTCCATCCTTTAAATATTTCGTTAATTGAAATAGACCGAAATTGAGTAGCCCTTTATGTGGAGGGAACTAAACTACCATAAGATGAGATAATATAAGAACAGTCTTTATTCGTTAAGTGCAATTGAGGTATACTAGCTAACACAATGGGATAGCCTGTGTTGTGAGAAATTAGGTTCCAAAATGAACAAAATAAAAATACTCATAACACAGTCTAGAACTCAAACAAGTAAAATATTTTTATGAACAAAGACAAATCTTATTGCAAATATCTCCTTCACCATACATTTTCTAAAGAGTCACCGGAGTTCGAAATCCGATACGAATGAAATTATGGGACCTAATGGGAGCTAAACGGAATCCGATGCAAAAACAATTTTTAAAATCGGTTCATTTATTACCGAGTTCTGAGAAAAATATAAGTAAACCCTTCATAAAACAAATCCGCGTTTTCTTTTCCACCGGCCAACACAATCCGGAAGTAATAAACATACAAAGATTGTTCCGTTTTACATTCCAGACTTACATACCCAAAACATGCCAGGCATAGTCAATGCTGGGTCACATCTTGTTCATGCAATGTTCCAGGAATAAGACTCCGCACAAGTTCGGAGCTGCAAATTTAAGTTAGTTTAGTATTGAGGCGTTTGATTGTTCCACCAACTGTACGCGTGCCGCCAAGAGGAGGGCTGGCTTTCATTGCTTTGCGCTTCGCGGTAAACGTGTACTCGTCACTCGGGCCGATTTTCAGTTAATTGGCAATTTTCAAATGTTGCCCTTTACGAAAGCGTCCGGAGAGCACCGCCGTAAATTACTTTTCGCATGAAATTTATTATTTATTATTACTTTTATGCGAGAAGGTGGCAAACGAGCTGGCGGTTAACCCGATGTTGAGAGATAACCGCCGCCCGGGGACATTTGCCACACTCGTTCGGTCGCTAACTCTTAAATCGTAACAAAAGAAGCATGGTTGGACTACCCCTGTAAAACGCTGCGTGGTTTACGCCTTTGCCGAGCGTATAGTCTGTCAATTTACGAATCTATGCACCGGCGTTCGGTAGTCGCCGACAACGGGCCATGCGCGTATGCCATCGCATCCGTCGGGCCCTCGGCCATATGCCGCGTCCGCCGAGTGGCCGGGCAAAAACTCGGCGCGCGCAACAGGTGGCCGTCGTCGGCACCTGCCCGCGCCCATTTGCCACGGACAGATGCGCGAGAGTCGCCGTTTCGTTTATCGTACGGCCCGGATTACATCTCGACGCGCCACCTGCAGCATCACGTGCAGCGAAACGGCACCTGCCGCGGACGCGATGTAGCAATCGCGACGCGCGCACGGGCGCGGAGGGCCGGCGTCGCAGGTTGCAGCGGTCGCGCCGTCCGAGACGATCCATGCACATGTACGGATAGTTCGGCGTCGCTGGGTTCGGGGAGATAGAAAGCTGTTGGGCATGCAACTTTCGACCGACTGCAAAAAGGAGGAGGTTGAATCCCAATGTTTGTCACCTCAGAACTTTCGATTTTGATGGTTCTTTGTTTTTTATTCGAAAGCTGGTTCTTCCCACGTGGTCCCGTATAAATTTCATTGGTATCGGACCTTGAGCTCCGGAGATACGCAGGGAACTCCTGACAATCAATTGTAAAATGAATACAGAGCGAAATAAAGAATAGAGTTGTAAGGAATACATTGCAAACCCTTGTTGTATGTAGAATGCTTTAAAAACATTGAAAGCAATAGCCGAGGTTCGAACCCAATGGCATGCACCGTTTCCGTTTTTCTCTGGATCTGAGTTTGTATGAAACGGGGCTATATCGTTAAACGTGTCACGTGTGGTGGCCGCCGCAAAATGGCGTTAGTTGCAAAGGCTTGTTTTTATTAACAATCAATAAAGGCTTGTTTAAGAAAAATTAGTTTGTCGTAGCTTTTTTCTATTCGAGCGGCAAATCTTTAGATTAGCAACTGAAATTATATTTATTATATTAAAACATAGGCCATGTGAAGCAGAGACCTTTGCGAATACTACCAAACGACAATACTGATTCTTCATCCAAGTATCAGGGCCTCACAAAGCCCCGCGTGAAGTGGCAGTATGTACTTACTATATTTCCTCGAGGTAACCGGGACCCACTCACTTCTATATTCTACGATATTTAGACTCCCTTCGATATTTAGACATCTCTTGGTCACTCAACATTATCGCTTATAAAGTAATTCCTAGACTCCAGCCATGTATGTTTACCTAAATAGAGAGAACAGCGTAAATCCCCAAATCCCGCTATCAAATCGGTGCAAATGTTTAGAAGCTCGTAAGTTCTTTAATAGCCGAATGTTTCATCCAAATCAATAAATAATTCTCGACACATTTCTTTGTTTAGTCTATACAGTAAGTGTTGTCAGTGCATGGTATTAGTGGGATTAATACGCGGCACTTATTGACTTCAGTCACAGTGACATTCCTAACTCGTCACCAGTTGACGACTTTAAGCCTAAAGTAAACGCAATCCTCTTTAACAAACAAAATAATAAAGTTTAAAGGGCAGACAGGATTAAGTTGACACCACGAAAAATTTGACGTGTAAGCAAGTGAATGTATATATTTATATTTATAACTGTACATAACTTAGTATGTTTACTATATTATATTACGTGCCGGAAGTCGATAGATGCAGGTGGCTAAGGATTGTGCTTGGTGGCAGTCAGTTGGGGAGGCCTGTGCCCAGCAGTCGACTCAAACAGGGTGAATTTTTTTTATTTTATTTTTGATGTTGAAAAACATTGCCCTTACTTTAGGATAAAATTATCCTGTGTTGTAAGGACGTTTTACAAAAATAAGTTTCACGCGGACAAACACCCAGATGCGAAACAACTATCCGTGTGCCGCACAATTAGTTGGCTAGTGTGGGAATCGAGCCCACGACCCCCGACGCCGAAGCTGTAACCTTGGCAACTAAGCCACAGAGTCATCAAATGATAATAATGATGTTGATATTACACTGTTGCTATCCAAATGCTTTTTTCGGTCTTACGGTTTTCAAATATTGCCAGCTTACTCTTTACAAGGAACCTTTCTTCAGCTTAAGGGGTATCTCAAAAATCAAAATCAAAATCAAAGATATATTTATTCAAATAGACGCTTGCGCGCTCTTATGAATCGTCAAATTTTACATCAAAGATTATGTGTATAGGTTCGTAAGGTACCACCGGTTCGGAAAGCGGTTTCTGTTGAGAAGAGACCGGCAAGAAACTCAACAGTTGCTCTTTTTCAAAAATATCAGGGTACAATATAATATACAGGTATAATAATAGTCTTATTCTAGCCTACGTGAGTATGAACAGCATTAACTCCACACATTGGCGTCGTCGAGATATTCCGAAATGGTATAATCTTATCCTTTAAACGAGCAATTCTTGTATATATTATATATATATATATATATATATATATATAATCGGAATCTCGGAAACGGCTCCAGCGATTTTCATGAAATTTAGTATGTGCGTAGATTCGGGGGCAAAAAATGGATCTAGCTAGGTTTCATTTTTAGAAAATGCCCTTTTATCCCTGTTTTCAGGGAATGAAAAATATAATTCGAATATGACGGTAAATTTTGCCACAAGAAAAATTTTTAGAATTTCTCCATAAAGTCGCAGAATGTATAATTTTTTAATTTAAAAATTTTACCCTCATTAAAATAGATGAATTACATAATATTTTTAGAACGTCAACGGGTGGAAGATAGTAATCTTTGCGTACCCTGGGAGGCTGCGTAAGTTTATGACGATGCATGACCGTAGTATTTACAATATATACGTCATATTTTAAATGCAAATGTTCAAGTTGAAAACAGTAACATCAAACCGAACACGGCACCGGGCGCTTTGCGTGGCAAAACGTACGGCGGTTTAGAAACTGTTGCAATTTCATTTGAACACGGTTAATGCAAGTCGTGGTTTTGGAAGCGACAAAGTCGTTTGGCAATCTTTTACAGAAGCCTAAGTACGTCTAGTCTAGCCTAGCACGTAAGATCGCGTCGTCGGAAACATCCTTACTTAATAATATTATAAACGCGAAAGTTTGTATGTATGGATGTTTGTGAAACTTTACAATAATATAGCTTTTATACCAGAATAAGACACAGGCTATAATTTATATACATATTTTTATGTATATCTGTCTTTCTGTCTGAATCTTACGCCTTCAGGCTATTCTACGCAGACGTAGTCGGGGGCAGCAGCTAATCCCGCATAAATACGACTGTACCGAGAAATGTCGCTCGACATTTGTCACTACACTTATAAAGCAATACACCTCTGTTATTTTAAGGCCATTCGAAGATTTTATATACGTTTAATATTAATTTCAAATTGTTTCTGAATGTAAGTAAAATTTCAAACAAGCGCAATTGGGTGGGGGTTCGATCCCCACTACTGGAAAAATATTATGTGTCGAACATAGTGTTTTTCCAGTGTCTGGGTGTTTATATGTTTATAATATGTATTATTTATATTTACAAAATAAAAGTATGTGTAGGTATGTTTATCAGTGATCTAGTACCCATAATACAAGCGTTGCTTAGTTTGGGTCTAGTAAAAGTTGTGTAAGAATGTGTTCTGATATATTTATTTATTTAATTACTTTTCAATAGCTTTCGTCTTTTGTTTTGTAATTTATAATTTAATACAGTTAAAGTAAGTAAAAAGTAAAGTAACAGCCTATATATGTCCCAATGCTGGGCAAAGGCCTCCTCATCGAACTCAGGTTGCTCGAGTATATTGAATTAAAGGCGCGCGCCCGGACACTGAGCTATCACGGCTCTTACTGAGCTATCTTCTACAGTTTACAATACAGTTTAATGATTTCAAATGATTCATTTCTTCTTAAAAGATTTAAAATTATTTTGAACAGTTTGCTGTTCTGTGTACCAAATAATATATATATAAGACGGGAATATATATATAAAAAATCTTCCTCGAGTGCAATCTGGTGTGTTCGCGTCAGAAGGAAATCATCGCGAGCAATCAACAGGTGTGTTTCGTAGTCATTATAATCGGGGGGCCCGTTGAACCGCGCCCGCGGACCGGTCCCTTGGCGTGCCTCCGAGACACATTGTTTTTTTTTACAGTTAAAATACGCGGCTGCCGTTTCCACCGCCATATGGCTCGGGTACTGGTCCCGGGCGGGTTCCCGACACGTGTTGGGCCTTTGTCGGGACTAGGAGAGGTGCCATTAGCGGACGGGAACGCACCTGCGTTCTATAATATACCAGAGCGGTTTCCCCGTAACGCTCTCGCGGCCAAGAAGTTCCGTGAAGTGCTGTACGGCTGTGGTAGGGCCGCGAATGGGCAGGTCCGTCCGGGTTAGTACCACGACCTCGCAGAAGACCCCGGCGTGAAGTAGAAGCGTTAGACATTTCTTCTGGCGAGTGAGGTAGCCGGGGCCTACTTCAATAAAAGGTGGCAACGCACCTGCAACCTTACGGGTGCTGCAAATGGCCATGGGCGGCGGTTATCACTTAGCTTCAGATGAACCGCCAGCTCGTATGCACATTCTCACATTAAAAAACATCCCAAAATCCATATGTTAAAGTTAGCCCCAAAGCCAAACTCTCGCGTCGGAAATGTCAATGCTATTTCGCTTGCCAATATGCGGACTAAGATCCGCCGCCGACGAACGGCGAACGTCTTATGTGTCACAAACACGACTTTGTTTGTGCTCGTTTTGGGTCCGCGAGAACGGACCTTCCAATATCACGGCCTGACCTTGGAAACGGGCACGGACCAGCAAATCAACAGGCGCCACGATCAGTGTTGCCAGCCAACTCTTTGATTGCCACAAACGGTGGATAGCAAGCGACGGTAGGAAACAGCAAAAAGGTGAAGAAAAAGAGTAAAAACCTATACGTGTCCCACTTCTAGGCAAAGGCCTCCTCTGTACAGAGGGTATCAGCGCATAGTCCACTACGCGTCCCCGCTGCGGATTGGCGGATTTTTTCTTTGTTATTATTTCGAAAATATGCAGGTTTCTTCACAATGTTTTCCTTCACCGCGGAGCACGTGATAAGTCAGCACTTAAAGTTAACAACTTCTTTGGTGCCGGCACCGGGGATCGAACTCAGGTTGCTCGAGTATATTAAATTAAAGGCGAGCGCCCGGACATTGAGCTATCAAGGCAACAGCAAAGTTCCTAATGGAATCATTGTCTATGTCTTTTTTTTAAAAGCGCTTAGAATTGAGCCCTGCCAGAGAAGACGAAAACTACTAAAGAACTACTAAATAAGGAGTTGAATATAATAATTATTTAAATACGTGAAGCATGAATTTCGTGCGTCTTTTTAAGAAAACTTCGCGGACGCAGTAACAGTAGTTTAAACGGAGTGCAGAAAGCTATAATTTTTATACACTATGTGTTTGTCACGCACACACTAGTATATTTTCACGATCATATTGTCAATGTCAAACACTTAATAATCTGCTGTCAAACAATTGCACAGATTACAAATTGTCCGTCGCCAAAGAACTTTATTATGTTAGATTGGCTGAATGAGTCCGCGAGAGAAAAAAATGTGCCAATAAATTTACAATGACTGTCGAATTACGATCAATGGTTTCAATATGACAAGGACTCCGTGGAGCGGCTGCCAACGCTGCCAACGTACTGGCTCCAGCGTCGGGGGTCGTGGGTTCGATTCGCACACGGGACAACAATTTGTGTGACCCACGGATAGTTGTTTCGCATCTGGGTGTTTGTCCGCGTGAGATTTACGTTTGTATAACGTACTTTCAACACGGGATAATGTCATCCTAAAGTAGGGGCAATGTTTTAAGAGAAAATGTGAACAAACGCCGATTCCCCAATGCAGGGGGAATGCTGCGGCGGGGGCGTGGTATGAGGTCACGGGGTGAAACAGGGCTTCGCAAACTTTGCCACTGTTTTCACAATTGTTTTACTTTTCAGTAAATTCGCGCGCGCACTGGCCATTTAGCGGTTTGCGCGCCTCTGGAACAGTTATAACCATTTCTACTCTGTTGCTATCTGAACTATACGGAGATAAATTTGTTTAACCTTGTACCGGCACTGTTTTCTTAAATTTAATTAAAGCTTGCGCATTTAGTTTACATTTATTGCTCTTACTTTAAAAATAAAAAATATATTTTTAACAGTAAGTTAACTTTTAACTTCTTTATACATACAATAAAACAAAGTCGCCCTCGCTGTTTGTACGCTTTGATCTTTTAAACTAGGCAACGTTCAAGATAGGTTTATATTTAGTATAAATGCATAATATTATAATAGAAAAGAAAAACAAGAAATTCAAAGATTTGTGTGATGCGCTCACATTGCAAACGCTAAACCTAACAAGAGGGATCAAATGAATTAATGAATAAATAATCTATATTTTACACACCGTGGTAAATAATACAATGAAAACGACAAGTACCATCCGTGCGAAGCCGGGGCGAGTAACTAGTTATTTTTAACTATGACATGGCAATAGCCAACAATAGCTTTTATATTTACCAATAAAATAATATATGATTCATTGGCTTATCCCTTGAACTATCGTTCGCTTGGAAATAAAGTGCTGGCGCGAATTTTCGTCCAGAAGCTAACGGAAAGAGAGGATATGCAGAATATAAAAAGCTAAACTACAGTTTCAATAAAAGGATAGCAAAAAGATGCAGGATATAAGGTATAACCACAGTCGCTATAAGTTTTTAAAGTTGACGAGACCTTGGGACGAGCCTATATCGAATAAAGAAAATTTTAAATTGTGAATCCAGAGATAAGAAACTGGATCTTAGTCTCGATTTGTGAAATACGAAAATAATATTTCTCCCTTCTTGGTTCTATTTCCTTATAGCACTGGCTTTGTTTACAATCCAATGTCAACTCGATGGCGTGACGTATTACGTTAATGGTGTCGGCAGTGACATATTAATAATGGTAGCCGTACAAGCGACACATCTGTCGCCCTAGATAGACTCACTCGTGTGCGTCGGTTATACTTGGGGACCTTGGGGTTACCATGTTTCGGATGTGGACGTTTCTAGAAAGTTTCAAGTATTATCGAGTTTATGCTTTCAGTGCACAATTTGGTAACCACGGTGCGATATAAATGCTTACGACACACTATTTGGACGCATGTAGTTAAAGATATTACCTATTTTTCGGCTGAAATGCAAATGAAAATGTTATTTTTAATTAAAAGACTATAATCTAACATATAGTAAATGCATATTTACTTTAACAATTATATTTCTATGTTATTTTTGTTTGCCTTGCCTTACGGTTAATCGATTCTAGTCTTGCTAAATCAGTATGCGAATAATTAGCGATAGCCAAAGCCAATATCAGTATACGATTCTATTAGTCGAGACTATATATTTATAAATTTTACATCAGGAGGTAAAATAACATTAAAAAATAATTACATTTTTGCGACTGGAGACAAGGTTTACCACGCCCAAAGGTTAATCAAAGTAAGACTACTGTTTTGACATAACATAAACATGTCGCGAGGGTGACAAAAAAATAGTCGAATCAGTAACCCTTTAAACATTCAATAAGAAAGATTACAATATAATTTTTAAAGAAACTATTCAAGTAGGAATGTCCTACAAAGCCGAGCTCCAGCGGGAACCTAGCAAGATTATCCCGATGGCGACATGGCTTGCCTAGAGCCGTGTCACCCTCGTAATATTTAATTACTCTGAAACGTTGGCGACCGATGCAGTCGGCGGCGGGACCCTTCCGCGTTGGACGTAAGCGGCTGCGGCGCTTAATGGAGCCCACTTGGGGCGCCACCGTCGACGGCTACCCGCGAGTTATGCGGCTTCGCCAAATCAAGTTCATATCAGGTCAAATTGCACCAAGCTACTGGTAATAGAGCTACATATCGAGTCGGACGAGAGAGCGTCAAAGTGGAAAGACCTCAATCTGCTTTCGTTGAATACTTTTAGACTGGCATTGGTACTGCCCCCGAAGACGCTCTGATATTCACGGGCGTAATGCAATAAGTTACGAGGAGACTCGTGTAATAATTATTGTACATCTTTAATCTAATCAATATATTAATATTTTATTAATAGTTTGATGTGATTTAAAAGTTGTTGATTTGACACCTATTGCGTGATATTTCCTACTCCCTAGAGTGGGGGGTGGTTGGTGGTTATTGGAAACTATGGCTGTTGCTCTGCTGGAAAAGCTAAGTATAATTTTTTGGGACAAATTTTTCACACAAAGTTTTGTCTAGTCCCAAACTAAGCAATGCTTGTTCTATGGGTACTAGATAACTGATAAACATACTTAAACATACTTTTTTTTGTAAATAAATACATATTATCCATATATAAACCCAGACACTAGAAAAACACTATATTCATCACACAATATTTTTCCAGTAGTGGGGATCGAACCCACACCCTTTGACGCAGGAGGCAGGACACTACTCACCAAGCCGTTCAGGTCGTCGAAGTATTATTGTTATTCAATTATTGATTCGTTGTTGAGTTATAGTCGTATAAATCGGTAAAAGCTATGTTTTATAACTTGTCTCTATTACTCGTTCGAACACACCCGTAAATCCTCAACAACAGACCTGCCAAGCCTGCATATGGTACACCACTCATCCGTTATGACGTCACACGGTCATTATTAGGGCCGAGCACTCGCTGTACCATCACGAAAACAAAACAATGCCTCACTTAGGCCATATGTTATTTCAACTAAGTTAATTTTTTCTGTTAGTCTATAAAATTAGGACGTGTAGATAAATTAGGCAATTCTAAAATTGCAATAAATACAATGGAGATGGGTGAGAATATCGACCTCTTAGCTTAAATACTGGCAAAATTTTTATATTTGTCTTATTGTTGTTTTTTATTTGTTGTTTCATATTAGTATTTTACTCATACTTTTAATTATTATTGAGTTATCGTAAACTTATCGTCTTTTTAAACACGCTGTAACTACCTTTAAATGGAAACATGTAAATCGTAGTTCCTAAGTCTATTGTTAGTTTTTATAACAAAACAACATGTTATTCCGTTGGTGGTTCTATCAATAAATAAATAAAATAAATAAATCTGGCCGGGATACACGGAATGTACGCACTGCGCGATACACACTATACTCACTCAAACTTAAACACTCACTGCGATTTCGCGGGGACATTCGAAAAATTGAATATTTTATCGGATCTTCCCAATGATATACAGCGTGTCTTTACAATTGCGAATAAATGAACACACATATAGGGGATAACTTTTTAAAATTGTATTAAACATTTACATTCTTTAAACATCAATATTTACCGCGTTATAAATTTTTCCAAAACAAACAATTTTAGAACACCCTTACGTATAAAACTGTAACGTAAAGTTCATTTGTAAAGGTCACAAAGCATATGAATGGGTTGAATGAATTTAAAAGACACAAAACATACTGTTAGAAGTAAGGAGAGGCTTGAAATGCCACGCTGTGGCGCGAGTTGTATAGGATGTTACAAATTTTGTTTCTTTTTTACTTAATTAGTTTGTTTGAAAAATATTTCTTTTTATTATGGATTTTGTTTAACGTTAAAATTTTTTAATGATTATTGGCAAGTAGCGTTAGACGTGTGTTCATTTATTGTCGCGACGGTAACGACACGCTGTATACAAATACGAAGTAGGTATGACACTAGCGCACCGAAAGTGAGGCACTCAAACTACGCTAATTGGTGTAATCATATTGAAATTCTACAAACTGTTATCTCTTTCCGTATCATACTTACGTTCTATATCATCTGTCACATTCACTTGTGTATGTCATATATTGTAAAGCGGAACAACTTTCAAACGCCGCGCAGTATGGACATGCGTCATCTTTATAATCAATATATAAATCGTCTTCGTTTCTTCCCCTTCGGGAGCCGAACTCGCATCGACACTCGGATCGTTGCCTTAAAAAAGGTAAAGTTAAAAATGCACAACAAAGACTCAAAGATCAACCGCCTATTTTCAACCTACGATTTTCATCACAAACTTGCCCAGCCTGACTGATGTCCCATATAATGGTAAAAGTTGATGAAGTCACGAAACAAGCTCGGGAAAGATCCATTGGTTACCGCGTTGGAGAAGCAAACGCGTCGTTATCTGACTACGCTCAAAGTATTCCGTTGCTAACACGAATAAAAATGTTCAACTGTGATATCGCATACGTATTGGCCCATTTAATGGAATCACACGTCCAACCCTTATCTTCCGTGCCATAATAGCATAAACAGATTAACGCAGACACAATCAACATTGGGACCTGGCTCGCGGGTTGTTGTAAATTATGAACCCATAAAAAGTTCGACGCTCCGATGCAAATAAATGTACATTACGCACTACATCTATACAGATAAATAAAATTGGAGTGTCTGTTTGTAATATTAAAATAACTGGCTTTACCAAATGCATACAAATATACACGGAACATACACTAAAATAACATAGTTTTACAAATTTTGTCTTTTTTGAACAAACAGACGAAAAACAGATGTCTTTCTGTCTGTTTGTTCCAACTAATCTCCGACATGGCTAGACCGATTTTGATACGACTATAACTGGCAGATAGCTGATATAATAAGGATTATTTTAGGTTACCTTTATTTTAGAAATTTTATTTACTTTCATTAATGTTTAAAATATAATTCCACGCGGACGAGGTTGCGGGCACAGCTTGGATATAAAATTGAACTAACGAAACCGACCCTTTATCACTTATTGTGTTGAGTCGATTTAGAAGAGTTGTAAATGTAAAAAAAAGAAGAATACTAATACTTACAATTAAAAACAAATTATGTACCGGACTAAAATCTACTCTAATCTATGGACTAAAATATCGGACTAAAAATAATATAACACATAATTTCCCCAATCATTTTTAGCCCGTTTTTCGGCGTGGGACTTTTCTTACGCCAAATTCTATAATAGGATCTAGTTATTGCAGTTAGCACAAACGGACAGCGATCGGGCCGGACCTTCGGTATCGGGAAATTAGAATTGATCCGGCATGGTTACAATAGAATGGTGGTGCATCGTACGAAACTGATTTATATGCGGTCCGCTAACACCTGGACGTTGCGCGGTCGGTGTGACGTCGGCCAGGGACCACCTGGAACAGCTGAACGCGACCGCGCCGCCGCGCAATCGCCCGGGATCGCGGGCGTCGGCTACCTGGCAGCGTTTACACCGTTATTATTCCGAAAACACGCTTTCGCCTAACGTGCGGTTGACATGTGTTTCTACACCCCACGCCACATACGTGACCGTAGGTTTGTGCACGTGCCGGTTAATGCCCACTCACGTAACAGGGAATATTGTTAGGCCACTATAGACAAATGTCTATGTACTTATTAAATTTGTATAAATCTCGATACATCGATTGTCGTCTTGTCTATGACTATGTGTTAATATGTAGAATATAATCGTGTACCTGGAGGAACTTTTTTTTGGTAAATCATGTATTTTGTAAATAAAACAAATTAAAAATAAAGAAAATGATCTGGTATAGAAAAAAAAAATAAGTGAGCGTGACGCGAACCGCGGCCGTCTGTTTTGTGGCCGCCCGATTACCGACCGAGCTATTATAACATTTTTTTGCGGAGAAATTTAATGTCATATTCGAATGATATTTTTCATTCCCTGAAAACAGAGATAAAAGGGCATTTTCTAAAAATGAATCCTAGCTAAATCGATTTTTCGCCCCCAAATCTAAATACTAAATTTCATGAAAATCGCTGGAGCCGTTTCCGAGATTCCGATTATATATATATATAAGAATTGCTCGTTTAAAGGATAAGATTCAAAGAAGTGAACGCCGCGTCTTGCTATGTAAATGAAAATAGAAGTGAATTTGAAAAATGTTTTATTACAGCAATAAAAAAAACAATTGTTACACGTAAAAATAACATAAATACAAAGTATTTTGCTGACGATGGATTGACACTATAAAGTATAAGTTACGTATTTCTAAGCTATTTGTAGGGTAGAGAAGTGTTTGCGATGAACCGCCTTAACGAACCACCCTTATCACTTAGGGGTATGAAAAAATAGATTACGTCCGCTTCTCAGACCTACCAAATATAAATGTTAAAGGAGGAGTTTAATTACAAACACGACGGAGATTACGTTTATTTAGGCTTTTGGGTTAGTTAGGTTAGTATTGATTTGGTTTTTTTAATAAGAAACATATCGAATTATTTCAATGGATAATGCTTTAAGCATATTTAATACTGCTGGTTGGTTCAAACTACAGCACCCGGAGGACCGAGCTTTGCTCGGTTTGGTTTTTTTTTTGGTAAATCGTGTGTTTTGGAAATTACATTTAGATACAAATTACTGAGTAATGAAATATGCATAATATTTTTCGATCTTGCCGACGTAATAATAAGAAAATATGAACTGATGTTTTTCACAAAAGAAAGAACTTTAAAAAAAAGGGAAAAAAATAACAAAATAACAAATCGACAAAAAATTAAAAATAAAGAAAGCAATGATCTGGAATCGAAAAAAAATAAATGTGTAAATGATCGTGATACGAACCACGGCCTTCTGTTTCGTGGCTGTTTATTAGCGGCCACCCGATTACCGACCGAGCTATTATAACATTTTTTTTCGGTGAAATTTACCGTCGTATTCGAATAATATTTTTCATTCCCTGAAAACAGCGATAAAAGGACATTTTCTGAAAATGAAACCTAGCTAGATCGATTTTTCGCCCCCGAATCTACGCATATACTAAAATTCATGAAAATCGCTGGAGCCGTTTCCGAGATTCCGATTATATTTATATATATATATATATATATATATATATATATATATATATATATATATATATATATATATATAT